GAAACTGTATTGTACGTTGGGTTTAGCCTGTGGGCTGGTGACTGGGCATCTCAGTCTTGTTGTGTTTGCTCTTCATTTCATTTGTAACAGAAGTTTTTTTGATTGGGTCAGCTCTGAGAATTGAATCTCTAGTACAGTGAAGTCATATTCAGTCTTGGGCGTTTAGAAAAGAACGTTTCGGCTGACATGCAGGGGATTACATTCTGGAATACTAAACTGTCTTTCCTGTATTATAGAAGCGTGCAATGTGAAAAGATGTTATACTTTGGTATGTAAAAATAGCGTTCAAATTTGAAGTTGAGATTCTAATAGCTTCTAGTGCAGTTATTTGTTTAGTATTTAGAAAAACTGTCTGTGCAGCATGCACATGTTCTGTAAATTTGTCTAGGTAAATATAGAGGGTAGCTCTCTCATGAGGATGTAGTCCTATAAGATCTCTTGATCTTTTCACAGACTTGTCACGTTTACTGTTAAACAGACATGTATAGGTTATGCAGCTGCATGTTCCATGCTTATTTTCTTTGATCCAAAACAAAGGTTTATTTTTAAAAGAATGCTGCAATAAACTACAGTATGGTTTATACTTGGTTTCCTTGTGTGAGATTTCTCTGAGCCAGAGGCCAGAATTTAAATGTTTCTTTTTTTTATATTATTCTTTAGAGCCTTGACATTATTTATTAAAGAACATCCTTTCTTATTATATTGCTAATTAAAAACTGTGAAGGCTTTTTTGCTAAATATTACTGGGTATAGGGATTATTTTTTTCTGTTGAAACTATGGACTTATGGAAGGTAAAATTAAAAAACAAAACAAAAAAACCCCAAACTGGGAAGTTTACTACTAAGATGCAGACTATTACAATCTGCATGAAGAATCTCCACTGCCTTGGCATGAGTGATCTTGAATCGTAGGATAAGAAGCAGAGATGCAACTCAAAGAAATGTGATTTATCATCTGTTCATAAGATACTTCAGGCAGCTCATAAGGAATTCAAGAAATATCATTTACTGTAATAAATGTCAAAAATTGGCTGCATTTGAAGAGAGAAACTGGAAAAGCCAAGAGCCTTGCCCCTTGGGTGTTAGAGTAGACTAGTCAGTCTGTTTCACTGTAAGATATATAGGGGCTGATGCCTTATTTTTTGTAACTTCTGTTTTTCCTTGGATAAAACCTTCTGTTTCTCCTCTGGAAGAGGTGACTTAATTGACTGCTGCCAGCCTTCCATAGAAATACTGACACAATGTAATTATAAATGGGAAAATCCTTTTCTTTTCTCTCACGTGATCCACCTGAGTTTGGAGGTGGAACTAGGTAAAGTGGTTGTGGCTGACATATCTGATTGAGGTTCATGACCTTGTGTTGGCTGTTTCAGGACATGTTACTCTGGTAACTCAATGTTGCCTTCTAAGGAACTCTTTAGCCCCCTGACTCCTACGTTCATGCTGACAGAATTGCCTAGGTGCACCTGCTGTGGCATAGTTTTCTTCTGGACCTACGCTACTTCTCTGAGTCATGTCTTTATGTCACCCTTTCCACTTCTGTTTAGCTGCTTTCCATCAGTATAACTTCAACTGATGTTTTTTCAGAATTTTCGTATTAAGATCTGTTGAGTAGCAGCAGTTCACAACTTTGCTGCGTTACAGTCTAAAAGAGTAGCAGATAAAGTTTAACTATTTAGAAGTCATTGTCACATATTAAATGTGCTGTCCAAGTCCAGAAAAAAAGAATCTAGGATTGATATAAGGAAAATAATTTCTTTTGAAATTTCCTTTTAACTACATTGGTTTAATTTCCTTTTTGGCAAATTAACTGCTGTCTTCTGGAGTAATTAACACGCATGAAAAATGTAGGTTGGGTTTGTAGATGGAGGTGAGGACCTGCAAAGCCTATCATGCAAACAAATCTACAGCTACAGTAGATGTGTACAACTAGTTTTGTGCAGGCTTTGTCTTAGTCTCTGGATTTGTGTCAAACTCTATTCACATTAGAGATTTTTCCCTCTCCAGGTAAGTAAGCTCTAGCTCTTTTTAAATCTCCTGTTTTGCAAACACAAGTGAGTGTACTCTGAATCACTTTTGCTTTTGTTTTGATGCTTGAGATTTTTTTGTATAAAGTAAAATAAAGTGGATATAGAAGTTGCTAACTTCCTTTTGGACTTTGAATACGTTGATAAAAATATTTGCTTTAATGTTCAGCCTTTTCCTCAGGCTAAAACAAAGCTGGAAATGTAGATCCTTCTTTAATTTTTTTTTTTTAGGTACTTCAATACAAGTGATAACAACCTGCAGTACTGGGGCCTTGATTATCCACCTCTTACTGCCTATCACAGTTTTCTGTGTGCTTACATGTAAGTTCATTATTTTAAATAGTTACTTCTGTGGAGAATACAAAATACCAAATTTACCCCCCCCCCCCCTTTCTCTCCTGAGAAGAGAAACTAGTAGCTAAAAACTACCAGTCTGGGCAGCTGATGAAACAGTATTATTTGCTACTTTAAAGCTAGGGAAATAGATTTTTTATGTATCCGTACTGCATAAAACTAATATTGCTATTTTTCTGTCTTGTAATTATTAGAAGGGGAGCTGAAGGGTTACATTCTTCTTTTTGCCAGGTCCTTAAATTGTGGCAGATTTAGATGTGACTGAGATTTTTAGCTTTTCATATAAGCTGCTGTTGGATCAGTGATGCACAGAGAAACGTGCTGTTAGGAATTGGGTGCCTCACATGGGAAACCTCTCTTGTATTGAGAGCCCAAGTGACATTTGATGACTGGATATCATGTAAATAGAATTCTGTTATTGGAATACTTTTTCCACAAGGGCTTTACTGCTGTTGGAATGAGACTTATGGAATAAGAATGTAGGTTAAAGTGCACAGGCACAGTTATGTGGGGCATCTATGTGAACTGTAAATGGTTTATATTTAATACTTAAGTATGAAAGGTATTTACAATTGTTTTTTTAAAAGTCAGTGGAACTAGACTCAAGGTGGTTGTCTTGTCCTAATAAATATTGTATTCCGTTTTTACTGTTTTCAAAGATACTTTTTTTAATTGTGAAATAGCAGCTAAGGTCTAGAGTGTAGACTTATCTAGTGGTGAGGAAAATCTTTCATTGATCACTATTGCTCTTTGAAATATTTCTTCTCATTCATCTTAATTCTTGGACTATGCTCCTGTGCATGTCATCTTTATTGCTGAAAGGAGTGTAATGGGAAATGAGAACTGTCTACGTTTTGATGTGTCTGTACTTTGTTTTACAGTGCAAAGTTAATAAATCCTGATTGGATTGCTCTGCACACATCTCGGGGGTATGAGAGTCAGCCACATAAGTTATTTATGCGTACAACAGGTAGGAAAATTTTATTTCCTTAGGATGATCATACAGATTTGTCTTGCTTACTAATTTAGCATGTTTAATATCACGCAGCTTCTCTGTCTTCGCCAGGTTATTCTCAGTTCTTTGACTTGGGGGCTTTGCAGGTCAATTTACGAACCAAACTCCTGTGTTATTTTCTCTTCTGCCATCGTTTGTGAAGCTGATAAATATAAAATATACAAACAAGTTTTCAACCAAATTGGTTCAGTAAAAACTCTAAAACTAAGCCACTTTTTTGCAGCATAGAGCCATTTTTTAATTTTCAAAATAGTATTGTTTTTCCTTCTGATAAATACGTTTTTCATTTTCAGCTTAGCTTACTTTTTATTGTAAAATTGTTTTGCATATATACTGGCATTCACTGACTTAAAAGCCTCTTGAGGTCTCAGATCTTTATTACTAGCTGTTATACTTTATCTGAAAGGGAGTGATATTTGGTATTTTTAAAGATGTCACTTTTCTTTCAAATGGTCACCACTTTCTAGAGTAAACCTCTGTTAGCAAAAAAGTAACAATGTACTTTATCACTTTTAGCCTAAATTTCATTTTCCTGCAGTCACTCTTCTGACCATTTGATTATTTTGATATGGCTTTACAAAGAAAACGATAAAACAAGTGCAGAAACAAAATTATAGATAACTTAATTCAGTACCTGTATCAGTAGGACAGCAAACAACGTGGCCAATGAGCTCTTGTTCTCTAAGCAACGGCATACACGATATTATCCAGTTACTATTTTATTTCATTTTAAATCTGCCTTTTGCTTTGCGTAACAGTAGAGTTCCACAAAATGCTTTCTGATTGCAACAGCAGAATTTGTTGTTCATCAATAGCTTTTCTGTACTTCACAAACCTCTCGGTCTGGTCTCTAGTAATTGATTGAATTGAAAAAAAATAAAAATCACTAGAACTTAATTGTCCTTGAAATGGTCTTTATTAATTTTGAAATCAACTCACTTGACAACCCACTGATGGATCTAGGAAAAGTGATAACCCTTTTTTAACAATAGCTATTAGAAGAATGCATTAAAATAATTCAGAATGGTCAATGTCAGCTGTTGGTATTACACCTTTATTTTAAGTGTCAGTGTATTTGTTTTGCTAATGCTGTGGGTATATTTGTTTAATTGTGGCTTAAGCCTGTAAAATGATTCATCACGGAATAACTGATATTTGTAAACATTTTCTTCCAAAGCCCGTGACTAAAAAGAGGTGAAGTATACTTCCCTCTTGGAAGGGAAGTTTCATTTTCTGAAACTGGTTTATAGAAATAATCTGAGATTTTTCTTTGGCTCTTAAGACAGCGCTCAAGTAGAATTCACCTGGTGGTTTAAGCATGAGCAGGAGTTGACATAATTCTAGGCAGGTGAACCTGCTGGTTCTGTTTTCTTGTCGACTCTTACATATATTTGCTGTAGGTGGATGATACTAGTTTTAGTCTATTTATCCACATCACTAGTAATTCACACAGATACATTGGAGATTGTAACAATCTAGAGCTTCTTAATTATTTGTGTCTTCAGACTATCTGTTCCATCAAACAACTCGACTGGATCTAGTCGTGGTTGATTTCTTTTGAGAATTAAGAATGCCTTCTCTCATTTTGGCATGTGAGGAACTAGAGTGTGCTCCGTTATTGACTGAGGCTGTGCCAGAAGCCAAAACAGCTGAACACATGGAAGCAGCAGCTTTTGGACATCAGAAATGATAGCATTGGAAACATTAACAAGATCAAATTCTGTAGACCGATTTCTTCTTATCCTTTGAAGTGGAACTACCCAGTTTATTCTAATGAAAAACTTTCTGATATTTTAATGTTTAATTTGCCTGTATTTTTTCCTTGTCTTCCCCAAAACAATTGGGGGGAAAAAAAAAAGCCGTGGTATAGCTGCCAAACCAGAGCTATCTTTAAAACAGTGGAACATTCTGTAATGCACTGTAAGACCATCGTTTCAGCTGAATATGCTTTTCTATTGTCACATGACTTTTGAACTTCAGTTGAATTGAATGAGTAAAGTGAAGTTTTCAGTAAAGATACAGGTGCAGACCCCACGTTCAAAAGGCAAGCAAGTAATCTTGCTCCAACACTGCTATCACCTGAGGTTTTTCACACCACATACAACCAACATGCGGAGCATTAAGAAGTTAAAACTGTAAGCAGAGTCAGTGATTCACAATCCACATGAAAACGCACAACCTGAATAGCATTAAGATGAGGTATGTGGGAGGATTCTAACGTAAAGTTAATCTTTATTTTTCAGTGTTTGTTGCTGATTTGCTGATTTATATTCCTGCAGTTATTTTATATTGTTTTTCCTTGAAAGAAACATCTACTAAGAAGAAGGCAAGTATCTGGTGTGCGTGTAAATTAAAAACCAAAGAAAATATACTGTTAAAACAGGGTAGAAATGGAACAGTATGAGAGTTAATTAACATATACAACACCATGATGGCTTCAACTGACATAAAACTATTGACAATCAGTATATCTCGTATTAAAGGCTTTTCAGTTAAAAAGATTAAAAAAAGCCATTAACTTATCTTACAGCAATTATTTTAATGCTTTCAGTAACAATAACAAGATGCTCTGAAGTTTAGTAGTTGTGAACTCCTGGTTTATATTTCTTTCTGAAATATTTACTACTTGGGTAGTAAAAACAAGATTTGTGCTGTGACATGGGGGAATCTAGGAACTGCTTTGTCTTGCACGCTCTTTATGGTAGAACCAATACTTTTTGGAATAAAAGTCTTCTGATTTTTGGAGCGGTTCCAAGGTTTAAGATGGGTGTGGGTGATCTCTGAGCTGGGTGGCAAAGGGTAAGCTGGTCTCCATTCAATATTTTCTTATTTATGGAAAATCTTTATCCTTTTTTTTTATTCTTCAAAATATTACCTACAGAAGATTACTTGTAGAGAATAAGGTTCCTACATAGACGATGCACCACGGAGGGGCAAATTTTTGTTCTGGAAAAGTAGTATAAGTTCTTCTGTCTAATGTCTAACTTAGAAATCATTATTTTTCCCCTCTCTTTTTTTGATCCTTCTTTCCAGGTTTCCAGTGCTCTCTGCATACTGCTTTATCCAGGCCTCATTCTTATTGACCACGGACACTTCCAGTATCCTTGATCTGCAATGAAATGAGTTTCCATTTACGAAGTAACACTGTTCTTTAGTACTTGTCTTTAACTGGGCAGGTGATTTCTTTTGTATACAAAGTCATCTGAGAGGTGTCTGCCTACCCCAAAGCAGAGATATTAAGGAAAGGTGTAAGTCTGAAATATATTGGAGATAAATAGTTGATATTGGGACAAATCATTCCAAACATGGATAGCATTCTTTCTGTGCCTCAAGCTCATATTTCTGTCAGTCACTTTACTGCAGAAAATGTCAGTGGTACTGTGACAGTGAAAAGAATGATGGCTTGTGCTCCCATGGTTTGTGTTTGGAAAGAGAATCACCTTAGATCTTCTTGAGATGGCAGAGCAGTGTGTCAAGTGCAGTTGTGTAAAATCTTCAGTTGTATAATGTGTGCCATTCTGTCTTGCCTTTACAATTACTTGCGATTGCATTCATTTTATGCCTAACCATTTAAAAGCTAGGCATCTAATATGAGTTAGGCTGTCAGAGCTAACTAGTCAATATAGGTGTCAGACACCTTCACAGGTGGGTCTTTTTAAATAAGATTTCTGGTTTTACACTTGTTTTGCACATCAACAAGCAAATACTGTTAGTTGGCTACTCCAGGCTGTACTGCTCAGTGCTGTCGAGCCAGAGGGACGCAATCCTGGAGTTGTGATAAATGTAGATCTTTAAATATTCCAAGGAGATACTGAATCTCAGCATCTACTACTAAATCAAGTTTTGACAATCAAATAGTTTGCTAATTTGTGGTTTTCTTCCAAGAGTGCATGGTGAACTTGGGAGATAATATATCTTAGCAGATTTTGAAGGAAAAAATTATAATGCTATTGAATATTTGAATTACAGTTCAGGAATTCTGACATTCTTTTTTTGGCCTGACTCTTTAAAGATGTAGATCATCTGGAGACCTCACTTACAAGAATGGGGATGGGAATGAACACACTTCATCTTAGGTGAGAGAAGCTGGTGGTCAGAAGGCGGCGCAGGGTTACAGTTTTCTAACGTGTAAAAGATGTACAAAGAGGAAGGCAATAATCTGTGTGTCTTAGGTTAGACAGGGCAAGAAGTAACGGCCCAAATGTACCATAGGGAATATTTGTTTTTTTTAAATACATGGAAAAATCTTTTGAACCTCATTACAGTGAAATGCTGGAATGGATTGTCTGTGGATGTTGTGGAATCCGCAGCATCAAGACCTGAAAAGGTTTAGCAAACCTGCTGTCAAGGGTGTAGCAGACACTGTGAAGCAGACCGATGTACTGCATAATCTCCTGGTCTCTTCCAGCCCCGTGGCTTTTACCTGAATGACTTGGCTATCTGTGACCAGCTCCCAAGATGTCAATAGATTTACTTAACCTTAACTGCTGCTGCACATCTTTGCAAGATCACAGCCTTTTGATACAACAATGTGTTGATGTGAAATTGATGCGATCTCAAATATACATCGTGATTTTGAGTGGGAAATTTGAGTGGGCTGAAAACAAGGTAGACAATCTGTATGTGTTGTCACAGCTATTGACGAGAAAACAACATACTGTGAAATTTCTGACAAGTATTTCTCCTTTGGTTTCTCTCATTGTGTAAAAATAACAGTAAACGACAAAGCTAATCTTTTGTTGCAATTCAATAGTAAGTATAGCTTAGTCTCTTCAAATTCTACTGAGCTTGGGAACCTGTTCTCAAAATCGTAAGGAAGTAATGTTGCTTTTAGTAACTGTTACTCATTGTTTGTACTGGATTAGCAGCTAAGGGGAGTGGTCATGGATGAGGGTGTATTGCAGGTATAATATAACCACAAAAATCCTGGGAGTCCTTGAGCTAAATAATATGTAATTTAAATACTGTTGTGTTTGGATATTCTGCATGTATCTTTTGGAAGCTGGGAGGAGAAACTCCTGAAGGCTTTATCCTTAATCATTTAAATGATTATCCTTAATCATTTAAATACCATGAAAAAAATGTTTACCCTGATGCACCCTACAGAGTACTGTCACTGTCACCAAAAGCTTGGTTGACTGAATGTACGTTACATCTATTAAGTAATAATATTACTTAATTTTTCACTCGTGTGGGTTTAGGAGGGATCAGAGGCAGAGAAAGGATCCGAGGTGGCATCCTGAGCTGCTGCGCAGTCTGTCCAGGGCCTTCCTGTTACGCTTGTCCCTCAGGGCCTTCATTACTGATCTTCCAGTACTATGATGTGTATTTTGTCCTTGACATAAAAAAACATATACAACTCAGTGAGCCTTGGCTTTGCCTTGTGGGGTGTACTTTATTTGTCTTACGACTGGGACCTTTTGGGGTCAGTGGCATTTTGCTTGGCCTTAAATTATAAGCAGATGGAACTCTACCATTCTCTGCCATTTTTTTGCTATTTACTTGGAAAGTGCTTCAAGAAGGGACTGAAAGGAAAGGGGTAAGTGAGTTTGGACCATTTTATCTTTCTTAAGAACACACCCAGGCAGCCTAGCATTGGGAATGTGATGCTCCTTATTTGCATGTGGGCATTTCTGAATTAATTTCTAGTGGAAGATACTTACCTTGTTGTAATGAATTCCTCTCCTGCAAAACAAATATTTCCTGTTGAGATCTACATTGAGTATTTCCACTGAAGGAAAAGCAAGGTGTCCTTTCTTAGCACTCTTCATTATGTAAGCTGAATTAAATACGGGCTGCAGCGGGCAACCTGATTAGATTGACAGGGGTCAATCTGTGGTTCTCACGGAATTGTCACTAATCTGGGGATGTTGAACTTTTTCTGTGGTACTGGTAGCTCTTTTTGTGTAGAGTTGTTACCTTCAGGTCTGTACCCCTTTTAAAAAAAGGTTTATGCTATAAACTTAAGAACTGACTTTTGTTACCAGTAGCTGGGTTTATCTTTTCTGATATAAGCTTTTCTTTTGATTGCAGATTAGTATTGTTAACTAAAATAGCCGGGACAGTGGTGGTTTCCTTTGCTGTCTGCTGGCTCCCGTTCTGTACCGACATGGAACAAATCATGCAAGTACTCAGAAGACGCTTTCCCATTGACCGAGGCTTGTTTGAGGCATGCATGTTTTCTTCTCCCCCACCCCACTGTCAGTGTTCTGTATTCTTAGATCCCTGGAGAAACCTTCATCGTGACCTTTAGGGATTTCGTGTGGGAGACACACCACAGAACTAGTAATTTGAGATGGCTTCTTCAGCAGTCATTTCTTGCCAGTTATTTAATCCAGTATTTAACCCCAGCTCAGCTGGCATCTTCCAGGATATTATATGAGTAGACAACACTTATCCCATCATCAAACCCATACTTCAATCCATACATTTTTCCATTGAAATAGATTCCATAGTAATTGACAGTGTCAGAAGATGTAACCTTAAAAGTTAACAGCTTCAGTCTCTGTCTTTGGTTCTGCTCAGGTCTTTTCAGCAGTATTTGTTATTTAAAAAAAAAATAAAAATTAAAAAATAGTGTTTTGGGTGCAGCCTAGAACTTTCTTTTTGACCCACCTTGCATTTTCCCCAAAGTTTTGGGCCAGTTCTGTTTTTTTACTTTCCCTCAGGCTATCGGCATTTGCGTGCTGCAAGGTGCTGAGTACCACAGCCTTGATCCAGTAAAGCAATTACTCATTTACCTAATGTTAATGCCACAGGAGTCTTGCTGATAAAAGAAAGGGAACTCATTTCCCAAGTAACAGTGACTTCTTGTGCTTTGCTTAATTAGGGCAGGAGTCTTATTAGACTTTTAAAAGCAGATTCTCAACTTCAAGTTTAACCAGTACAGTGAAGCTTTGAATTTTCAGTTGTTGATGTCACAGGGATTTAAGCAAATGCTTACATGGTTTGATTCATCTTTTAATCTTCTTTAGATATAAATAATATCACAACTGGCACTTGTCTTCAAAAGTTAATGCTGATGTACCAAAGGCAGCAGTACAGAAGTGTTCTCAGTGTATTCTCTGCTAGTTTATTTAAAAAACACAACAAAACCAGAAACAAACACTCCCCCCTAAAAGACCCCGAAAAACCCAAACAATGATCCTATTCCTTGGGAATTATCTGGAATTTATAAATAAATAGATAAATAGTTGTGGTCACCCCACTTTTTATCCAGTACAAAGTTTAAAAAGGAAATCTGTAAATGACAATAAGCAGTGAGTCTGAAAGAGCTTAAGGATTTTAGTCTAATATTAGCCCAAGTATTTTCTGAGTTGATCAGGGGAGTGACTTGCTGGATGCTAATCTAGATAAAATGAGAAATTGTCCGCGTAAGCAATGCGCAGTAAATTTATACTGGGGTGCGTGTAACAGGTTCTTTGAATTGGTTCCCATTTACAGAAGCAGTAACAAATGCTGATGGTTGTAAAATCGTATTGGCTATTAAGTAGGCGTCCTGTGTGTTTGCTGGTGCTGCCAAACCCTCTGTTCCCTTGTAATCCTCAGCAGATTTGCAGTGCATATTCTGTATTGCTAGTGAGCATCTGAGGAAGATGGCTCAGTTGTTGGTGCTAGTAGCTCTCTTGCTGTTATGTCTACACAGCTGTGATTCAAGCAGCTGTTTAGGGATGAGTTTCACGAGCATGATAGCTGTAGTTACAAATTTAATTTTGAAAGTGATCCTAGCACAACTGCTAATGTCTTTAGACTTCTTGATTTATTAGAGGTTAACTCTGTCATTGCTAGCAAGCAGTAAGCACGGCTAAATACTTTCAGGTATGTAATGAAATGTGACAGTATACAGAATGTCTTTACATTTGAAAAAAGATTCATATATGCCACTGTTTAATCAGGGACAGATCGTTTGACAGCCTTATTTTCACAAAATGTGTGATCTCAGGAGTTAAGTAGTAGGCACTCGTGCTGAAGAACTATTTCTCAGTTATTTTAGAACATGTGTTAATTGAGTCTCTTGAAACTTTCCATTTTTGAAGATCAGAATAATTTGAAGTGCATCTAAATATGATGTATATCTGCAGGTGTCTTTTTGCAGTATCATGGTAAAACCCCAACAATCCTCCACTTCCCAAGCCTCATTGTTGTCACAAACATAAGTTTAAATTAATGTAGTTATCATTAATTACCTTTTTTTCCCCTTCCAGGATAAAGTAGCCAATATTTGGTGCAGTCTAAGTGTCCTTATAAAGATAAAGAATATAATATCACCTCAAATTCAACTAAAACTCAGGTAAGACATAACTGAAGTGCTTTAGGTAGCTTTTTATTTGCATTATTTTTTTGCAAAACCAGTAATTTTCATTGAAGAATGATGAGAAGTGGTATTTAAAATATTGGAAAAAAGTGTTTTCTTCCTCTACTGTACTTTTCTCCAAGTGATAAGGGTTTCCCCAAGTACTGTTAGGAGTATTTATGACTGAAAAATTCCCTGCTTGTTTATATAGTGATTTAAGCTACTTGGTTGGTTAAAACAGAGTTAAAAATTGCATGCTTTCCTCTTCAAAGAATTACTTCTGTTAGTGCTCTTATAAGTCAGAGTTCACAGATCTGTTCTTTGAATAAGTGAACAGTCAAGTCTAGGTCTAGATGGTCCGAAATATTAATGGAAATGCTTTATTCCTTTTTCAAAAGCACTTATGTCAGTGAGGAACCGTTCAGTGCTCTCCTCTTGTGATTGAGTCTCCTTGAGTGATTTTGTACTTCAGAATATTACAATTGAAGTCCTAACTCACATAGTTTTCAAAAGTGATTATATGATATCACAGCCCTTAGTCGCTCATGTACTAAGACTGTTTTTCCTACAAAAATTCCTTAGTTTTGCAGTAACATTCCTGAGCCTGCTTCCTACTTGCATAAAACTAACTGTCCAGCCTTCTCTCCGAGGATTTAAATTTGCCTTGGTAAGTGCATGTTTTTAATTGCCCCTCGTTTTATATCCAGCACTGGTGTGACCAACAGTTCCACTTACTGCAGTGTGCAGAAGCGTGTTCACTGTTAAATGGCGTTCTGCTGAAGAGATTGGTTAAAAAGTGCATTGCTATCACGTGCCCAGGGGGTCTGACCGCTCTTTTAAATCCAGACTTTTCTTCCTTAGCCTCAATTTTCTTTAATGCTGTATTTTTATTATCTTCCTCTGAAGAGTCTGTACACATTAAAGCATCATGTAGAGTTGGAATTTCTCCTGTTTTGTTTATCTTCCAAAGTGCTGGCTTTTCTGACTGCATTGGCTGCAAAATTCAATAAAAAGTCCCGACATGGACATTGCAAGCTCATTAGCGGTTTGGAAAAAAACCAAAACAGCAGCAACCTGTTTTCCCAAATGTTTGCCTGCCTTAGTCATATCACTGAATTTAAGCACATTAACATGACTTACGTGCAAAAATTTCCCTGAAATCAAAATTATATGGAGCTGGTCCTAAGGTTTCAAGGGTTACAAGATAATTTTTATTTTTAATTTCATGTAAGTACTGTTTGTTTATTGCAACATTGCCTAAACCTAATGTTTATCCTTTCTAAAATTGGTTTAACTGTGTTTTTATTTGGTGGGGAAAAAAGAGAGTTTATTCACTTTGTAGTGGTAGTTCATGACGATGAGCAAAATATTATGTTGAGAAGGTGCGTAGTTCTCACCATGACTGAACTTCACCAGTGCTTATGTATGTGAATATTGTGTGTACTTGGTGGGGATACTCTTGTCAGTAAAGCTAAGCAAGAGTGAGGGCTCTTTACGTGAAGCTTTTCTGAATGATTCTGGGTAAACTTTGAAAGAATGTATTTTTTAGTATGTGGAGGTGGTTACAGAAGCAGCTCTGTGTACTTGTATATTGCACTGGAGTAAATGTAGCAGTTAATTAGAAAAGGCAGATCATTTAGTATCATTCAGGTAAAGTCTATGCCAGCTGAGAAACTAAAACAGTGCTTTGGATTGCAGTCATGTATACTAATATATCTTCCATTTCCTTTTCTAAGGTTAGTTGTGCATTGTCATTTTTCCTGTTCTCCTTTCAAGTACATGAAAAATCTATTCTTCTAGTGTCAGTGTAAGTAAATTATTTTTCTGTGGATATATTTTGATCTTCTTTTCCTCATCTTGTTATTGCATGCTGCTTTCTCACTTATGAATATATCTGACTTTAAAAACTCTACGCCTTTGCTTTGCTGAATAACTTGTAACTGAAGGTGTCCAGACTGTGTTTCCCAGAGCACGCCGCGGCAGAGGGCATGGCTGTGGGGTTGGTTGAGGCGATGCTGCCATGGGCAGCAGGGACGTGCCTGTGGCCACCCAGCGAGGTGGGAGCACGCTCGCAAGTTGAGCTGGGTGATGGATACCTCACTAACAGCAACGGTAAAGGGCCCTGCTCTCCCATCCCTGCCCCAGAGGAGACGAGGGCAGCAGGGACAGTCGGCAGCTTTGCTCTTTGCCTGGATGTCCCATTTGTACCTGAACGTAGCATTTGATAAAGGAAGGTTTGGCAAGGCAGCCCTCTTAGTGCTTCTCGTTCATGCCTGACAGGAAGGCTAACCGGGTGGTTAGAGAACTCCTGTTCTCCCTGTAGGCAGCTGTCTGGAAGTCGCGGTGCTCCTCAGAAGCTAGCCGGAAGCCTCGCACAGAGCGGGCACTAACCCGGCTGGCTGTGCGTGCTGCGGTACGCACTGTAAGCGCTCTGCTGAGTGGCTCTCCTGCTGCAGACCCCGCGCAGGCCAGAGCGTTTGCCTGTTGGGGTTCTGTGGGGTTAGGGGGGAGCGGGGCACCCCAGCAGAGGAACGAACAGATCCTGTTCCTGGATTTTCTGAGCCCGTGCCAGTGGGGAGGAGAGTCTGCCCTGGCTCCCAGCAGAGCGGGAGTGTGAGAAGTTGGAAGGAAGAACTGCTGTCACCTCAGTGTTGGCATGTCTGTTTTTCCTCTTTTCATTCTAGACCAGTCTGTTTGATCATAAATGAAATCCCTTTTATGGCTACGTGGTTTTTACTTGTATCAACGTTCAGGTGAGTTGGACGCTATTAACGTTATTTTAAAACTGCGTTCTTCCCCAATTCTAGGATGTATAAATGTATTCTTTTTCCTCTTTTCACATTCTTTGAAATATAACTCGGAACGTGCATTCGCTTCTGCGGGCAATTCTGTTTTAACAGTATGTTGCCTCTTCTACTGAAAGACGGCCTGCTGCTGGCCTACGCTGTGACAATGCTGGCATTACTGTTGGCCTGTGTGGCTTCCTTTTCCATATTTGAGAAGACTTCAGCAGAGGACCTGCAGCTGAAACCGTTCTCCCTTTCCCTGAAGGGATATGTTTCTTGGTTTAAGTCATTTCCAAAGATTGTCAGGAGTCTGGTAAGCAATTTTAATTCCTATAACTCTTACTTGCAGCTCATCGTGGTACTGAAGCACTTGCATAAACCAGTTTTATGTCCACAACTGTGCATAAAGCCCCAAACAGGGAAAGCCACACTATCGCAGCGTAGAGGCGTGCTATAATTTTTTTTCTGCAATGTCACCTATGTATAGATTGAAGACCACAGAGCACCCAAGTAATGAAACCAACAGCTTACTCGTTTAAGGCGTTAAATCACCATGAGCTAATACATCATTCCTTATCTTGCAGTTTCTTCTTTCCATAAGCCTGATGGGTGTCCTGTCTCTGATGAGCGCTGCAGTGCATCCTCCCCAGAGGTTACCGGATTTATTCCCTGTATCTGTGTCCATTATTTCTTGCTTACACTTTTTATTATTTTTGGTGTATTTTAATGTTGTTATACTCTGGGACTCAAAGAATAGTAGAAGTCAGAAGAAAATCAGTTAATCAAAGACTAAACTGTGAAAGGACGGAGTATTTTCAGTGAATGGTCTCTGGCGTTGCAGGTAAACCTGTCTGTGATGTAACACAATTCCTGTAACCTAATGAAAATCGGGAAACGCGTTATGCATATTTAACCACATAAATAATTAAAGACTGTTTTAAAGGAGAAGTATGTTGAAGCGTACCTGGAAATGTGATTTGGTGTGTTTTCTTCAGAAGTGTAATACTTTTGTTACCATTTGTAAACTTAAACTACCTAATAAAGGACCAAATTTTGAATTTGTGCTAAAATACCCCGGCTATATTAGCAAAACAGCAAACTGTTGTGTTGGTATTACGTTTACACATTTCCCAGCATAAAAGCGAAGTAGTGCAGGTTAAGTGGAAACTCCTAACTGCTAGCTCTTGTCTTGCCGAATTGTTTTATGACACAAACTGTTGCGTGTAGTCAGTCGCTCTTCTCCATCGTTGTTCCGTACAAGGCGCCGCAGTCCATCTGGGCCGTTGCAAGGGGCTGTGTGTCGGTGCAAGGTGCTCCGTGGATTCCACGATCTAAGCAGAGCACTTGGTTCTTCAGCTGATGGTGTAGTGAAGAAAACTCAACCTTCCGGCAGTGTCGTGTGTTTGTATGATGTGTTCTTTTCCACGCTACCCCTGCTTTCAGAACGCAGAAGAACACACCGAAGTTAGAAGTAGAGGCTGTGACGTGTGGGAAGGTTTCCGCATGTGCAGTGGGCTGGAATACATTTCTTCTTTCGCTATGATATATTTTAACACTAGTGTAGTCTTATGACTCACAACTGTTTCGAACAGGACTGAAAAGCCAAAACCTATTGGTGGTTCTGAAAGAATAGTTGAGGTACTGCAGTGCAGTTTGAAAGCAGGTACTGGGCTCTTCAGGAAAGATAAAGGGTAACGCAGCCCTTATTGCACAGCAATTGGCAGACATAAACTGCGCTAAACTCTGTGATTTCTCCCTCAGCACGGTACGGCCTCCACTGCCAATAGCTCAGAGAATACAAATTGATGGAATAATTATATACATAACAAAGCTTGTAGTAAGAAAATAAATCATAAAGCAATTCCTGGTAGTGTAGTTTAATTAGGAGTCAGTCTGTCCTTTCTCTTCATTCTGTTCTGACATTATATATGTGTGTGTATATATATATGTAATGAAAAGCAAACCCACCCTTGCTTAAAGGCTCCTCCCCTGCCCTTGGTGCGCTCTGTCACATACCAAACGCATTGACATCAGCGCGTGCTGGGGCGACTCTGCTGCGTCGGTTGTGAGTGTGTGAATCAGCTGTTCTGGGAACCTCCAACTGTGTGAGTTATGAATACTGTAAATGAAGTGGCTACGAGCTGAGTGCGTTTATTCATTTTTCCAGCTTTATTTGGTGTGGAAAAAGTAACCACAGCCAACTGTATACCCAGGGCAGCTGAGCCAAAATAAAAAAGGTGTGCTTGAATAGGAATTGTAACGGTAGCGGGGGTGAGAATAGTTTAGTGGTTTACCAACACTGTCACAGTTCACTATAGAGCAACAAAACTTAAATATTTTCACAAGTATGTAGAATTTTTCTGAGGGTGTGCATGCAAGAGCTCTGCCCACGGCATGGCCTTTCTTTTCAGAAGTGTAGGCTGAGTGGCATTGATGCGTATCAGGACGCATGAACAGGAATCTTTGTCTCCAGAGGCTGCGAAAGCAAAACCTCCCCAGCATTCCCCCCAGGCACGGTGGGGTGGAACACCACCAAACGTCCCGGCAGCTTGAAGAACGTCCGCTTCCACTGAACTAACATCTGAAACAGCACATTCAGAGGGAAGGAAGCTGAACGGCTTCAGGTTCTAACTAGCCTGTTCTTGTATTAATCAGGAGATGAGGGGGCAACCTTCCCCTGTACAAAAACACCAGTTCCGAGTGTCTCTCTTGTCTTTGTCCCTGAGCTGGTCTCCAGGGGTGATAAAGTGAGAGTCGCAGCATCCACCTGGTGTGGCACTGGAGATGGGTCTTCACAGACCCAGCTGTTCCTGAAAGGCAAAAGCCTGGTACAGCAGGAGGTAAAAGAAACAGTAACTGCTTCAGTGGCCAAGGCGTGCATGAGGAGTCTTGGTATATACCTTTGTATTGCCCTAAAAACTGATTTAAATACCAAATTTCATGGTATGTAATAAATGCCATGGTGTAAGTTCCTGCTGTAACTCGCTGTCATCCAGCATCACCTTTACTGTCATTTTCATACAACTTTTATTTTGTGCTTTTAAGACTATGCAGAACAGTTTGATTTAGACCAGCATACAGTTAATTTACAGACTTTTCAGATCAATAACTATTTAATTTCCTGCTGCAGAGGTTACAATCAGGTTATATAAACTATTGCTGGTTCAGGCTCACCTTCCCTTGTACAAAGCACTCAGCCGCTGAATGTCGTACATACATACAATAACAAACCAACAGCACAGAAAGCTTAACTGAGGATGGAGCAGAAGATAAACTGTAACCTACACACTTCTCTGCAAACAATTACCGACATCTTTTTCAGTCCAACTGCACAGGTATTAAAGTGCAAAACCATTTTGATCAATTTAAAACTTCCCAAAGCATGAGCACGTGCATGTTTTAACCACAACCGGGGATGCATTTATCATTTTGGTTCTCAGGGTTTACAAATCAGTTTGTCTGAGTAACAGAACTTTGCAGGAGCAGAAAGGGCAGTCAGTTGTGCGCAGTTATGTTGAACTTTCTGAAAAAAATAATAAACCATTCTACTGCACTCTTCTGATGTGAGAGCAGCTGCCCTACTCAGTGATTTGAGACTATTCACTAGGCTGGAGAGGTGGTTTTGAGGTTAAGGAAAACGAGAAGAAACTGTTTTATAACAGGTCTCCCCATACATTGTTAAATACCAAAGCTAAGCTAAAACATTGACCTAAAAAGCAAATGTTACTAGAGCCAAGAGTTTTAACACCGTGGGCTTGAAGCCAGTACCTTGATACGGTGTGTCGTGGGTTGGCATTAGAGGGACCAGTGGCGTAGATGACAAATATGCCCCTAATACAGCTGCACGCAGGGAAGGGCTCGGCTGTAACCAACTTCAATGCATTCAGCACTCAGAATAATAATTCCTTCCCCATACAGCTTCCTCTAGCTTTTGAGCTCAATCAGCATTAGAAAAAGTAATGATTTTTAAGGCCAGCTGTGGCAAAATGAGATGATGCATTCGCTTTTGGGGGGGGGGAGGAAGTGATGAACTGAGTGGGCGCAACCCACACCCCACCCCGGCAGGAGGAACCAGTTCCCACTGGAGGCCTGGCAGCCAACTGTCATCTTGTAACATAGGGTCTCTCACCCGCTTCTTGGAGGGAGGTGGTATATTGCCTTTGTTGTTGTGGGTTTGGTTTTTTTTTTTTTTTAAAAAAAATCCACAACAAACCAAGGCAGCATAATTGTATAGTTGCAGTAAGAACATCCAGAGAATACATAGTTTGTCTTCCATGCAGCAGCAAACCTAAATCGGCACTTTGTACGCACGCTTGCATAAACCAACCATGATGTATTATTTACATTGAGATGATCTGGTTGTGCACATTGTTAAGTTTAAATAGATGCCAGAAATTTTATCTAGATGTGCACCTGCCTAGCGCAACGTGCACTCCCAAACTGGTATTTGCTGGGGAGATAGGTTTACAGTCATTTCTTCTCTCCTTTTAAGTACAGTCAAGCAGATGTAGAACTTTGGGTTAATGCGGAATGCATTTTTCACATAATGCCTGTGCGGAGATAAGGAATGACTAAAATAAATAGCAATTAGACAACAACATCATCATTCATGTGATCTGTTCAGCATTACATGTCTGGCCTAGGGCCAGTACTAGCCTCACTGCATAAAAAATACACCCCCATATGTCCTAAGGCAATGCAGAGCAGCAGAGGGGTCTCCCTTGAGCTGCAGTAACATTTTAGGATGTTTTAAGGAGATGCTATAGGTTTTATCTGTAGAAAAAATTGAGAAATAATTGCTAAAAGATTATTTAGCTGTGACAACTATAGTTTTTTTTAAACAATAAGTAAGCAAAGGGCTTTGCAGAATTGCTTACACTTGGGAAGGGATAGTGAGAACCAGAAAAATAAATGTGTCTCTTTTTGGACAGAAGGTGCAACCCAGCATTCACTGATTAGACAATAATACACATGGACGTAAACTAATAGTAGCAGGACGTAAACTCTCCGAGCTAATTCCAAATTGAAGCCTTGCAGTTGTCAGCATGAGTTTAGGTCAAGCTAACAAGCCAGTGTAAGACTTTGATTATTGCACTATCGAAAGGTCACTCTGCATTCTGTAGGACCCAGAAATTACACCGAGTGGAGAAAGGGAGCTGCTGAACATGATGGGGCTCTGCTCTCCCACACTGCTTTCCATCCCTCGATTACTCTGCCTTTGGTGCAGTAGTTGGTTTGGAAGGAGTAAGGAGCAGAAAGAATCTCAGGCATAAACAGCTAATAAGTATTAGGGTAACATCAGCTTGCGAACAAGTTGGGCTTTAATGCTTTTTTTTTTTTTTTTTTGCTACTAGGTTACTTGTGATTACAAAATAAAATTTAACCTTCACTGAGAAGCAAAATGCATATGTCTGAGCTCATCCCTGCACTCAGTTACACAGTTTGTAAAACCTGTAGATCTACTTTTCGATCTTCCTCAATTACAAGAATTAGACTACGTTAACTTTCCACAGGAGAGATGTTCTCACACTATACAGGGAATTGATATAATCTGCAGATAGGCTCATCTTCAGAGACTTCATGAAACATATGAGCAACCAGTTTTCTCATGCACAGTAACATATGGTGATAGACAAGGTCAGTGGCTAACGGCTTTTCCTTACGACGCTGGAACAAAGAGTAGCGCAGTGAAGAAGGGTGCAGGCAGCAGCTTTGCAGGAAAGCCAGGCCGGCGCCCGGGCGGCGAAGGGCCCTGCTGTCAGTAACACCGCGGGGCTGCAGCAGGCAGCCTCCCTGGAGAGCCGCAGGGCATCGGCCTTTGGGGCGTTTATGAAGGTATAACCCGGAGCACACAAATTTTCTTGCTTTCTTTATGTGTGTTACAGCTGAATTGCTGTTCCTGAAAAAAACACCCAGTTAGAGACAGGTCGGATGAAGAGAAATGCTGTTGGATGTTTTAGTGGGACAGATTTTCTACGGATCCGATACGTCATTTTGCTTAACAAACCAGTAACAAGAACCACCACATACAACTGCTTTCCCATCAAGCTATTACTGTCTTGACTGCAGGCCTACGTACTAGATCACTCTGCAAATGTTTTAAATTCAAGCACCTCAGTCGTGATGATGATACTACCTGTACACAGGAGCGGAGAAGCTACAGAGCAGACCAAGGGGTTACTTACCTGAGTCAAGGAGCGACCTGAGGAATGCAGAGCTACTGGCAGTCTGAACATACTCTGTGGAGGAGAAAAATCAGCTTTGATAAACAGAACAGTGGTGTTACTACAGAATTTGTGAAAATCCGCCCCCCCTCCCCAAGTTAAATACCTACTGCAGTGGTTAACAGAACCTCTTTTACTTGATACAAGTACTGTGCCTCAACAGTAATTTAGGAGAATGGCTTAATTACTTGTGAGTGTATGCACATATGCTACATCATTACCAATGATGACAAAGCAGAACAGAACGTGTTACGAGCATTAGAAGGTGGTCATTCTTTTTTGCTATTAATAATAAAAGAATGAACAAAAATCCCTAAGGACTGTATCAGCGAATTCTGCGGAATCTAACCAAGCACTACATGAGAGGAACCACCGTCCCCTGAATGCTCTGAAGGGATGGCAAAAAGGGAGCAGCCACACCTGAGACCCTTACTCAAGGAAGGCAGGGCCGGGGTGCAGATGGCTGGAGGAAATAGAGGAGAAGTGTGCAAGGGCAGAGAGGAGCTCCAGGAATGAGACCATGCAGGGAAAGGGTCTAGAAGGAGGTGCATCTGAGCGCTCAGGTTGCCAGATGGCTTTCTGCAGCAGATGATCAACTCAGGTCTCAGTAATCTTAGTGTCTGCTGATGGGTCATTTTGAGTCCACCACCACAGGAGGGTGAAGAGAGAATTCAGAATTATTCACTTTGTATTAAACATACTGAGAACAACAAACAGAGATTTTTGCTTTCTTATAGCAAAAAAGACTTGTACTGTGAGGAAAGGGGCTGCACATAAACCTGGATGGAGAGAGGCACTGAAGACCTGGGGGGTGGTGGGGAAGACTCTCCTGTTCTCCTCACGTGGCATGCTGTGATTTCTTAGGTGTCACATGCTTCCTGGACATGGCGTGATGCAGGAGACTTGCCTCTGGGTCTGACACGAGGTGCCAGTAACGCTACCCGGAGCTGACCCAGCCCAAGCCAGAAATCCTGTCTTAAGCGAGGTCTCATAAGATTACTCCATAAACAAGGCATCCGGTTTAAGTTTGCCTCTGGTACAACTTTTCAGCCTTATATCTAATAACCACCATTTGTTTACACAAATTATCATCAAAAAAATACCACTAACTATTGCTTCAAATAAGAAACTATCCAGCTTTGTATTCCAAGTAACAGAAAAAAGACTGGATTTAATTACAAGTTGCTATTCTTTGTACTAAATGCAACTTCCTAATTCGTTCTCTATGAACCCTTTAATCACTGATTGTGGCATTCTGACTATGCGGTACTTAAAGAACCCATAGATGCCAAAGCAACCATGCCAAGATCTGCATTTCACTCTGAGAAGCTGTCTTAAAAATGTAAGCTGCCCAGATTCATATAAAACATAATTAACTCTGCTTTCTTTCCAAATATATGCCATGACAGCAGATTTTGACAAGAGTGTCCTATTTATATTGACACAGATGGCATTAAGATAGTAAAATAATCAAATATAATTTACTATTTGTGTGTTCCAAAAACTTACAATGCTTGTTGTAGCACTTCAAGATTTTTGTTTTATTTTAGTTTTTGTGGGGTTTTTTTTGTGTGTGAGCTAATGAAGATCATGAGTTGCTCTTAAAAAAACCCAGCAAAGCCCTAACAACGCTTCTATCTCTTGACATTTTTATAGACAGAACTCCTTGTTAAACTACATAAAAGCAAAGAGAAAATCAGCAAAACTTCTGGATGAAAATCTGTTGTGGCCAGAGGAGCTAGGAAAGGAAGGGGTCTGTGGAGGCGACCAGAAAGACGCTCAGGCTGCAGCCGACTGGGGCACAAGCAGGAGCCGGGTGCGGGACCAGGCTGCCCTTGCTCTCTTCTCGTCAGCTCAGTGATTTTGGGTTGCGCAGGGGAGGGCAGCAGCCAGAGAGTCACCAGAAGCCTCAGCCCCGTGTGGGTGGGTTGGTGGAAGGTTTGCAGCCCTTTGCCGTTGGCGTCTCCTGTCCCCGTCCCGCAAAAGCATGAAAAGGGCAGAATCTTCCCAAGTTTCTTTTCCCGTCCTACTTGCACCACCATTCTTTCCCAAGTTTGACTGCTCTAAAACATTTACAGATCTAAAAAGCAGAGAGAAAAAAAATGTTCACCTGTCAGGTGATATAAAACCAATCTTCTACTAAATGTGCCAGAATAATTTTTCTCCACCTCAACCACAGTTAAAACCTTCAGTCTATTCATTACTGTCTTTTTATAGTATTTTTATTTAATAAAACCTATTAAGACTACCATACAAATCTCTTTACTTATGCTTTTATCTTTTAACTGATCAATTTTTATATTGCTGACATCCCTTCTTCACCATTTGCTCATTTAAAAATTCATAGTATATGAGCTATGTCTCTGGAGAAAACGTCTATAAAATTTGTTACAGCTGGCAAATGTGTATGAGTCAGTGATAGCACATGACTAAATGCTTCACAGAAAATAAAATTTGTTTCTGTAGTAAGCAGAACTGTTTAAATGTTATTTATTTTTATGTTTCAAAGAAAATATATTGTGAAGTGCTGCATTGATTTAATACGCAACAATGTCTGTGTACACGCTGTACAAGGAAAATTTATGAAAGCTTTGCACAACTCCTTTAATTGAATTTTCCAAATCTCTCACCACACACAAATAATCAATATCTTCTGCAGAGAAAACCAGTCAGAATTATTACAGTCTTTCTTTTCAATTTTGTTGTCATCAGCACATACAGAGCACCTGGATATTTGTAATGTCTGGATAGCAAGTTATTTACACCTCTTAAACATATAATTGCTACTAAGTGAGTCCAAACTAATGTTTCTTTTCTTTTTTATTTAAAATAATTATATTCACGGGAGAGAGCAGTATTTATTCTCATGGAGGAGTCGCTACATGTAGCTGTTGAAAGAACTACAATTCTTTTTAATTTTTCATTAAGCTTAATACTCTAAAGTCTAGATCCACTAGAATTAAAAATTAATAGCAATTGCATCTGTAAAAAGGTACATAGGAAAATAGAGTTTAAACACAAGTGTGAAATTCATGAATAAATGTGGCTGACACCTAAATATAAAATGCAGGTCGACAGTTCTATATGTATATACGTCTGAGGCCTATAGTCATATGTCTCATGTGCATTTCTGTATCTGCCACAAAAGTTAATAGCTTAATATTTCATCTACATAGCAGAGGATGTTAAATCATTGGAGAGGTTTGTAATTTGCCCCCTTCCTTCCATCCAAAAAGCTTATCATGTCAGTGACCTCAGACCCAGACACTTCTCAAATCTCAGGTTGTATTTTAAAACGTGCGCTCTTAAGGTGCAGGTACAATCCAACAGACCCAAAACCTGCTGGGGAAGAGCACGGCACTTGGGGGTCACACAGAAACCTTCACCTTTCCGTAGCATTCTTGCAGTAGACAAGATTACTCACTTGTCCTAGGAAAATCACTAGCATTGCAGATTTTGGGTACCAGGCTCAGTGGGTTTTGTTACCTCTTCTAGACTGTAAAGGACTTTGCACAGTTACAAACTAAGAAAAAGACCTGCTTGTACAGAACGAGAGGAGATGTACAGTCAAATTTAGCCTGTACATCTAAATTGTGGAGTTTATTCAGCTTTTAATCCACACAACACAAATTAGAATACAACATGTTCCTCCTCAAGGTGCACTTTGGGGCAATCTCACAATTAGTTGTGACTGTAAATGCAGGAGGGCAGAACAATTTCTCTGGGTCTGCATGGGGACATTCAAAATAACTTAGGAGTAAATAAAGCAGGTGAGTTGCACTACGTCCTTGTGTGCAAATGCACACTCATACGTTCACCACTGACGCAGGCCTAATTCTGTTTAGCTTAGTGCAGTCCCATTTACAAGTGTTCATGCTGAGGTGTAACTTAAAACCAGAACTGGGATTGACTTTTCCCCATGTCTACTTGTCGAAAAGCCTTGTGAGCAGAAGTACAGACAGATCTTCCATATGGAAGAGCAGATGAACAAGGCCAGGCTTCCTTCCACACAACATAAACAAAGTTGTGGTTTCTTGAAGCTGTCTTAACAATGACATGGAACCTAACACTCAAAGGGTACACTCATGTCCATTGGCTGGTTTCAGCTCCAAGGAATCATCTACCAGTTGGGAATGTGTGCAGCCCACCTGCACAATCTCTCTCTTTAATCTGCCATTCACCTGCATGTCAGGGCTAGAGCTGTGCCAGTCACAGTGACTGCTCTTCTAGAGGACATCCTACAAAGTGCTGCCCGACTGCGGCCCCTTGGTTCCACTTTTGGCCACGAGAAGACTCTTGGCCCAAGGGTTCTCTGTCCTGTGGTAAAGGCAGGTATGGAATCCATACTGCAGTTGCATTACAGACCTACTCTGTCTAAGCATCAGCTCTGGCCTAGGCTGCCTTGGCCATACCAGCTTTCTGGAACTAGCCTGACTGAACTAGAAAGCAATTGAATACCAGGCTTTAGAGTGTATTTTCAGACTTTCAGAAAATGTTAATTCTGAATTCAATTTCTATCTTAGTTTCACAGCCTTCCTGAGTAGGCCAAGAGGGCAACTCATATCTTGGCTGGATGCAGGACTTAAGTGAAAGAGTACGGATGACCATCATCTCTCCCATACGCTATGTAGGGACATTAAGTCAGAGCAGACATTTCTGACGCGTGGCAAAACACCAAACCTGGACTCTAGTGTTCAGAACTGAAGTAAGTATATCATTTGCAAATACAAGCTCTAAATCTCCATTTAATAATAATCTATTTGAAAAAAAGAAAAGTCCTTCCACATCATCTTTGTTGCTTTTAGAGATGATGTACACCACAAAAGGGCTGCTGGACAGACCTTGTCAAACTCTTGCCGGAAAGAAGCCTAGGATTTAACTGAAAGGACCTTGGCAGAACTACGAAAGTGCTGTTTCTGTCAGCATTAGCGGCTTTTTCCAAACAGATTAAAAATGTGGAAGAACTGAACTTCAGAAAAGCCTCTCTCACAAATGCCTAGAAGCAGGGCTTGGGTACCAGGCTTGTGGTTCATCCTCACAGTCAGCTCACGTACCCACTCTTAAGAAAGAGGCCTGCAGATCTGTTAGATAAAAAAGCCTTTCCCAATACCTAGGTCTAACCCCTGCATCCATCTCATTGCTTCCCTGAAAAGTGAGCGTTCACTGTAAGCAAAGGCAATCATGTATTTGTTCCATTTGCTCTCAAGGAATGGAAACACTGGAAAGAAACTCAGTTTCTGAATAAATTTCTGAATTCATTCAGTTCATTTAACAAATTTCTGCTTAGCCATTTCATGAGACTTACTTTTCCTGCAAGTGAATACAAAGTTGGGCTGAGAAAAAAACCCTATGTTTTTTAGGTTAGGGTTTTTACAGTCAGAAAAATCCACAGATAGGCTCCTGAAAACATACATCTGAAGTCTGATGCATTCCCTTTTTCCACAGAAGATCCCAAAGGAGGAGAAAGAGGAAGGATAGATGGGGACAGACACCAAAGTATGTCTAAAGGGCAACAAATGTATTCTACTTTATTTCAGAATGAGGTGGTAATGTGTTGTAAACTTGATTTACTCTCACTCACAGCAGCCAACCCGCAGTCCAGACCCAAGCTATTTAGTTGCTCTTACACAAAGACCCAATACAAAGTCCAAACTCAAATTGACATGAATTGGGATAAACTGGAATATTGCATTCTTACCATTTTACCTGTTTTGAGAAGAAACTCTGCTTATTAAGGATGTGTCTATATTTTGCAGTGTTTCTGAAATGGGATTTTATGTTTTGCCATATGTACACAGTCTTCAAAAAATTGGATTGGCGAGTGGGAGCTCAGTATTACCTGGTCCTCAATCTCTCCAGCTTTGCTTTCATTACTAATTTCAAGTGGCATTAAATGAAAATCCACCTAGTCAGCGCTGATCTAGTCTCTTGCAAAGCCACCACTACTGATGCAAAGAGTGCAAACTTCAGTCACTTGTACTAAAAACAAAATGAAAGTTAGGAATGTTTAGAAGTAAACTTAATAGGGATGATCACATTTGCCCATGGGCTTGGCAGGATGAACACCACCGCAGAAAAGAAAGTATTTTTTATTTCATTACAAGATACAGTCTGAAAATAATTTTCCTTAACACTACAAGTGTTTGATCTTCTATAACATTCTCTTGTTGTTTCTTACTTGGACAGCAGACGGAGTCACGGACATGATTTATGTCAGTGTTTTTCTTTTTGAGAAGCAAAGTATTAGCATAATTTGTAACAACCAGCTTAAGTAGCTTTTCTGTTTAGAATGTTATCTTCAGCCCTTGAAACTCTGAACCTATTAAATTTTCCTTTAAAATATGCATATCGCAACCTACACATCTATCCTCAACACACATAAAGCATGTTTTGGACTGCAACATACCGATGAGATTTCATCTCTTGGCAGCTGCTTTACAGTTTGCTTACATTCTATTAAAAAACATTTTATTTACTGTAAATGCTAGTCATGGGCAAACAATGATGCCATTTTTTATGCTGGTCACACAAAATGATATACTGAGTTCTGAATAATGCTGCCCATTGAGCAAGGAATGTTTTGTATTAAGTTGTTTTAAGTAGAGGTTGTTTATGTAAAGTAAATAAATTTCATGCCTCACCATGTGATGATAATGTGACATTCCATCTGTATCAAGCCACAGAACAGTCATAAGTTTTAAGTCTTGAGCATAACTAATTAAAAATAATTATGAAAAACCACATCCAAAACTAAAAGGCAGAGTAAAACATCTCCAAATGCTTTTATCACCTACTTCTTTGCTTCTCCTACTACTGTATTTTCAAGACAGCAAAATTGCATTTATTCTTTATTAAAGCAAAATTGACATTGAAACTTCATCAAAATTGGTCATCCTAAACTCGTAATTCTAGTTTCCATCCTGCTTTTACAAAATAGCTCATTTCTCATCTAACAAGACTGGATATATGTCTAGTGTGAGCAGCTAGTTTCTAGAGCAAAGATGGAACTATAAATGTATATCCTGGTAACCATTAAGGTGACCCCACTGAGGGTGCTGAGGCCCTGGCACAGGGTGCCCAGAGAAGCTGTGGCTGCCCCTGGCTCCCTGGCAGTGGTCAAGGCCAGGTTGGATGGGGCTTTGGGCAACCTGGGCTAGTGGAGGGTGCCCCTGCCCATGGCAAGGTGGTGGAACTAGGGGTGATCTTTAAGATCCCTTCCAACCCAAACCAGTTTGGGATTCTATGATTAAAAAGCAGGGCACAAAGGAAGCAATGACTGTTTAAATCTTCAGTGGCCCATGGTGTTCACCATCATCAGTGCCAGACAAGGGCTGTGATCATTTGAACAGAAGGACATAGGGAGCTGTAAATCAGAAAAAGCAGATTGCACAAATGAGTCAGGTTCCTTAAAAAGTGATGTCACTCATTTTCATTTTGTGGTAATCTGCTGGAGCCAAGGAAACTTAAGTTTGATCAACTTTCTCTCCTTTAAGAGAATTCCCCATAGCAGAAAGAATTTAGGCATGTGGAAGAGCAGATACAACCAAAATCAAAGGGGCTGCTTGTGATATGAAGGAGTCCTGCTGGTTGGGACAGCTGGCAGACAAAGCAGTAGAGATGCCATCACCGATTTTGCTCTATTTTAAGATAGAATGCGTGAAGATAACAGAAATATAAAAATATCAGTGGGGAATGTTTGTTGATTTTATTGGGTGCGAGAGAAAAAAAATAAAAATCTTGTGTGTATTCCCCTGCCACATTCCCAGCTAGACAAGGCACTAAAGCAGCTATGTGGGCCACACTATATTAAATGCCACCAACTTCAAATATTTTCGCAGCACTAGTTATGAAGAAACCTAATAGTTAGGATTTCACAGTCCCCTGGAGTGTGCTAAATACCTCACAATACACATAAGGTGAAAAAGGTTTTGCTGCAAAGACTGTATGCTACTTGGCTTATACACTGAAAACACAGGGGGAGGGAGGAGAGTGAGGAAGAACAAGGATAACCGGTATATCTAAAAGGTATGTAAACTCTTTAGGACCTGATTGCACTTATTTCTAGACCATGCCTCAAGTGCAAGACCATTAATGACTTTTTTCTCCTTTCACATGTGAGTAGTGCAAAAGTTTTCAGAAGAAGCACATTTGATTATCACCATTTTCACATACTAAAGGTTACTCAACTTCTTTCAAGTGGAAAGAACTGAGAAGGAATCAACTAAAAGGAATCATCGAAACATCTGTTACACAGCAGTTATAAAAAGTTTCTTACCTCGGGCAGGAAGTTTTCCATGGTTTCTTTTCAACAGCTGCAGTTCTTCTGCTTGACTCACTAGTCAAATAAATACATTTGAAATCAATAAATGTTGACCCAGAGATTTCAGAGAAAATAATACCAATGCTGCCTCTTTCACTTTCAAAGGACTTGTATTTTTCTTCAAGTGATTACAAAAAAACCCCCCCTTATCTATGTATTGTGCTTAGAAAAAAAAAAACCAAAACATTTTCAAAGTGAACCAAATTTGGGGAAGTTGTGCTTTCAAGCCTCATACCACATTTTGTTCCCATTTTTGTCTTGTAGTGCTAACAGGTGTTTTGTTCCCAATTCAGAGATGGGGCAAAAAGATGATTCTTTCCTATTTTGAAAGTGACAAGAAGCTAACAGAAAGAGTGGACATAACAGAAAACGTCAACAATAGGTCTGACATCTCAGTTGCAACCTTCTGGATACGGCAGTCTTACTGCCCTATCCACAGTGTAGGGTAGTAATGTAAACACAGACTATTTTCAGAAAACTTCATTTTGTACAAGAAAGCATCTGGTTATACGCATTACAGTGGGAACTAGTACAGCATATACACATGCAAAAAAGAAAACTGAATGAGCGTCGGAATACAAGTCAGGAAAGAAATGGTAATTTAAACAACAGTAGCTGCTGGAAGTGTGTGGTGCATAAATTCCACTGCTGGGTGCGTGCACCTAATGCAGTGGAAGAGTTATAGCGCTCTTTGGTAAGAAAAATTCTCTAGCATCTGCAGCTTTACTGTCTGCCTGTTTCCAACTGCAAACAAAGTAGCAGTCCCAGTCACCCTCGGTTTTGCTCTCCTGTAGCTAGTTCCAGTGTTTTCACACTGCAGAAAACAGAGCAACCAGACAGGTTGCAGAATAATGTATACTGGCAAAATATCACATTTACTGCAGGTTAAGAAACTGTTTTATCTTTGCATGCTTGTCCAAAGACTGGACACAGGGACTATGTATATGTATATATTATTCATATTCCCTGGTCAGCCAGAAACTAGATTATCAGAGGTTGGTATGAGAAGTCTACAAGAACAATGTTATATAGGCAAGCAGTGATAGGTAAATGCAGTCTTAAACACACCCCTGTACCACAAACATGTCATGTGGGTACAGATAAAAGGTGTTGCTATTGCGAAAACAAATGACCTGTTCTGAGGCATAAAAATTGGGGCCTCTTGGGTGCCTTCAGCTTTTTTCTGTAATTATCCATAATGAAATTTTTTTTGCCTTAGAATATTTTCCCATCACATACTCCCCTTCTAGTTGCAGAGGCATTTGTGAAGAGAAGCATGAATGCACTTTTCGCTGCTTAGGATTCACATGTCCCAAGAACCTCCGACTTGGAGCAAGGATAAAAAGTTTCCTACAAATGGACACATAAAAATGAAAATCTTTGGCTTTCTGGATTCCTTTGGAAAAGTATCACAGATGTGCCATCTGTAAAGTGCCCTTATCCCAGCACAATAAGCATCTGGTATGTCCATCATTTAAAGAGACATGAATAGCGTTTTTTAAAGCCTGGAAACCTATATTCAGCCTAATCCTCCTAACAGGTAAACAAACAAAACAACTTCCTTGCTAAACGATAAGAAAGGCAATGCAATCAAAGTACCTACGTTTATCCTAATCACTAGCTAACTACCCACTAAGTATCTAACTATTTACATACGAAAAGGTGTTGCTTTTGCAAGTTTTTCCTCCCCATCTGTGGCTGTGAGTTAGCAGGGTGGGCCGTTGGGGTTGCCATTCTTTTGTGTACCTGGTGGGCTGCACAAGGACATTTAAGGTGCATTTGTCCTGACCAGAAGAACTCACAGGTCGGAGGCCTGGGGTATAACAGTCCGTTATAACACAGGGTGGGGGTATGACTCTAGGAAACGTTTGGACTGATGATTGTTAAATTGTTAGAACGGGGATGAGTATTATTGAAAATCCTCCTTACTTAGCACTTGGGTTTTCTGCACTTCAGCACTCAAGATGCAAGACAAGTCTGAGACACCAACAATATTTTCAAGCTCTCTACTGCCCTCTAAAGCCTGGAAAAAAACCAGAATTCAAGACACTGTTAAATCTCACTCCCAAACCACCTACTTAGACGTCTGTAACTTATTAAAAACATCTGAAAGAAAGAACTTTTGGAAATTTTTCATAAGCTACAAACGATGCATGAGACTGTACCTCACAGAAAGTCAATGGGAGTAAAAAGTTTAAGGGTGGAAGAACATATGCTACTTTGAAAACAGCATTCAGGTGCCTTTTAAAGTGTTGCTTAAAATTCTCCTGTTGTTTACGCTTCATTGGTAAGTCTTCAGCTGTTTAAACAGATTAACACTTGATCTCCAGAAAAGCAATCTTGGCGCATGTACAAGCTTGCTAGAATATGTTAGTAAAATGGAAATCTAGAAGCATTTAAGATTCTATTGACCATACTCCTCAGCATTTCATGGTAGACCTAAAACCATACACTATCAATCTCAGGAGAAATATAAAGGATCTTTCAATAGGGTTTTCTAAATAAACATTTTAATTAAAATATTTTAAATTAGTATCAGTCTTTTTTTGGTAAATAAAACATTGTCAGACCACATACACAAGTAAAAGAAATCAATACAATATTTTGAGTACACTGAATTATTTCTCAGGTATTGATATACAGCAAGGAACCTTGTGTTAAATTTATTCAGGAAACAAAATGTGAATAAAACAGAAAAGTGATTTGCATTTTAGCATGTATTAAACAGACTATTAAATGATGATACATTAGTGGTAAATTAAATAGTACAATCACTTCAACACAAAGGGATATTTAATCTTCAAGGACATAAAAATCTATGTGGTAATACTTCATACTTCAAGTTATGAGTAATAGTTGATAACTACTTCATATGCTTTTATTCATGTACAAAATGAGGAGTGATGCAAATTAAAAATGGTGTACTTGGAAAAGCAACTCCTCTAGTTTAAAAAAAACTGTACTAAGTTCTGGGGCGGTTTTTTTTTAGTTTTGTGGGTTTTTTTCATTTTCTGGATTTCCAAGTCAAACCTGCCTATAGTTTCAAGAATTTTATTTCCTTCCCTATTTCTTAAAACTCAAGTGTTGCATATAAGATTTTAATTTTTATTTCAAATCCTATATTAAAAGTAGATTTAAAAAATAAATCAGTGTAAACCAAACCTGTAGGCTTGTCAGATTTGCTCTTATTTTCAGAATTCTAACCAATGAACTTTTCACTTTGGACTGCAATTCCATGAACCTGCATAAAAAGTTAAAATAAAACAATTTCAATTAGTCACATCGCCATTTGCTGAAAATCACTGTTTACAATATTTCCCAGAGTTTCTTTGCATTGTGATCAATATGGATCTAGATAAGCTGTGAACAGATGGGCTGTGCAACCTGATTGTGTCATATAACACCAAATATAACTTGCCTTTGGTTAGGATTTGTAAGGGAACTGGCAAAAAAATATATATCCTAATTCTAAGGACAGGAACGCAGGTTCAGCAATATTACAGAATTTTCTTAGGGGAGACAATAGTAAAACTAATAATTTAACTTATCTGTTCCTAAGAACAGGAGTTTAATCAAGAGGATGACCTCCCCAAACCCACTGACTGCAAGATCGTACAATACTTCTTGTAGCCATAGGAAACATGAGAAGTTAAAACTGAGCCCAACAGGGACAACATTGCATGATGTTATTTCTTCAGCTTTGTTGTACTACCTCCCCTTTTAAGCCACAAATATATTTTACTACCAGTGTAAAGATGGTCAGCTTTCAGAGTTTAACGGGTTTAGCAATAAAAATTAAAATAATATACAATCAGAGTAGATCTAAATGGCAGACTTTAATGCATGATTAAGGATTTGCACTGAATATGTCTTGGAAAAATTCCTGCAATGTATGGTTAGGCTATTTTCTCTTTGAACCATTTAAACATGCAAATCAAACGGAGATAACAGAGAAATAATTCTTTTACTGCTTCCTCCCACAGAAGGGAGAATCACCCTTATAAGAACCCCAAATTTAGAAACAGAACTACAGTATGAGAAAAACTTATCACTGTTGTATTTCAACATGGGAACAGAAGGCTATGCAGAAAAGAAAATGCTAATGTCAGTGTATTGTACAATATATTTTCCACCCGCAAAAATGAAGTGTATGGAAGTTCACATAAATATTATTGTGTAGGTGTTAGTTTATAAATGTGTTTACTGGCATGTCACTAACTGCTAGTCTTCTGCAAATCTTACAGTTTTAAAAAATATACTGAATTATTGAATGCAAACATTTACATGTCAATGAAGACTATGATTACTCAAATTGTTCTGTGTTCCAAGGTTACTATCACTAAGAAACAAGTCTATATGTGTTGACCAAGGATTTACTGAACAACAAAAAAAACAATTAATCAGTTTACAGCTTCCCTCTGGTATAACTGTAAGATTGTACTTTTTACTGTCTAACATGTCATCCAAACAATTCCTCCATCACTTAGAAGATACTTACTGTCCTACTCTGAAGAAATTTCAAGCTAATGGTGAGGGAAAGCATCCAATACAAGAAAAAAACCTCAACAAACACACTGAGAGTTCAAGTGCAATAATCAAAAGGAAGAGCTACAACTTCAAACATAAGAAACATAATATTTAGTTGAATAAATGTCACAGATACTATTTGTAAAAAAGAAATGAATGCATAAAATATCTAGTCCCAAGGGAATTTTCATCTGGGACACTAGGAACAACTGTGATACAAATATTTAATACATACAAAAGAATACAGAAGCAAAGTATACTTAAGCATATGATGAAAGAAACCCACTCAAGTACAAAACCCCAACTCTTTAATGTTGGTTAACTAGCCTGCATGAATACTGCACTGGCATGGTGATACTTCTTCCAGCAACAGAAGCTGCAGCACAGCAGGTGCGCTCTGCCTTCAATACCAACAGGTCTTCCAGTATGACCGGTTGTCAGAAGCAGAAACACACGGAGAGTACAAAGAAGCTGGCTAACAAAGGAATAGGTGGGCAGTGGAGGTTTGCATTACATGGAGAGGTGAGCGCTTAGTGACAAACTGGGGTAATACGAAATGCACCTCAGATTTTGGGGATAAAGTGCCTCAGACCTACAGACAGGAGAATTTGCATAACAATTTGAATTGGATGCACAGGCACTGGGACTGAATGAAATACAAGACAGTGACATTACACAGAATGAAAAAAAAATGTTGCAGAGGAGAGAAGAAGAGATGTGGTATAGCCATGTTGATGCTGAGCTGTGAATTAGACTTTCTCAGACAGATGTCAAAGATTTATGTCCCGATTCCACCAGAGGACAAGTTGAAGCATCAACTAAAAAGGCAGAACAACAAAACAGGATAATAAGATTTCAAGAACAAAAATGTAGACAGTGTTGAAGAATGAAAATAAAGAATTTTTTTTTTTTAAATTTTGCTAATAAGAGATCACAAGAGTCTCTGGTGAATACAATTTCAGTTGAGTAAAAAGGATGGAAATGGATGGGGGGGCTATCTAGGATAATATTGTATTAGCAGCAAGAAGTATGAACATGCTCATCGAGGAAGGAAACTTTCAGATTTTTAGCTGGACTAAAGCTTAAACTCAAAGTAGTTTTACTAAGCATATTCAACTTCCATATTAAAAAAACCTCAGAACTGCCAGGATTTCTGATTTGGGTAAATTCCCATTAAGATGAAAGGCATCCCTGACACAATCCAGCTTACAGACATTCACAGCTTTCCACTTTTTCACCAACTTCTATCACAGATGAAACAACTATTTCCTTTGTCTAACTCTTAGGGATGGATGTGCTTGTTTTGGCTGAAATACATCACACATTTAGCTTGATACCTCACTGTTGGCACAGAAAATTTCAATTCACTTTTCAGCTGAGATTTGGGAATGTTATAAGCAATTAAATGTGTTTTTCATAACAGAAAAGATCAAGCAATACTAACAACATGAGGCACTAGGAGCCTGACTTGTAACACATTTTATCACTTCTCCTTCCTCACATCTATCAAGTTTAGGAAAGCAGTTTATCAGATACTTCACCTGCAACATTTAAGTACTTTACTAACTGTGATCTGCCCAAAATCCATTAACGTCAGGAAGCTTATAGCTTAAAATAAGATTGTGGCAGAAAAGACAAGAATTTTAGAAGATATTGCAAAGCAATCATGAAGTTTCACTACGACCATCTGTAGATAGTTTTTAAGCAAAAAGTGTCTCTGCATTACCGGCCCTATATCTTTGGCAGTTAATGATTCCAATATAAGGTAAAGAATGTACACTTTCAGAAGAGTCTGGAAAGGCAAAACATACCTTCCTTTTGGTAGTTTAATTACAATACCTCATTGTGTAGTACTGTGAGTATGACTTCTGTAATTGGCACTGTCATACGCCCCACACTACCAGTGAAAGTCAGAACTGGATGCACAATTGTATTGCAAACCCTGTGCTAATTTGTACCTATAACTGTAAGCTTGCCATTCAGCGCCTTTGAATGTCCAATCCTGTGGAATTACAAGTATTAAAATTAATCACTATTAATTTATTTCTGTATGAAATATTAACCTTTCATAAGTAAAAATCACAGCACTGCACCCACAATGAACTTAATACACTTACGCATCCTCCTCTGTTCGAGGCTGCCCTCTTCTGGATAATCTGCTTTCTGAATCGTTCTGCTCAGTTCCATTGCCTAGGAGGTTCACAAGAAAGAAAAGAAACAATAAAGATGAAAATAAGATATTGAGTATTTGAAGCACATGAAAAAGGTGTCAGTAAGAACCCTGACTGCTCAATGATCTTTTAGGAAAAACTCCCCACGAAAACTCACTTATGCAGCAGGACAGATTCCCTTGTAATGAAACACACTAAGTTCACTATAATTTAACCTCTCATCAAGTCACATTACATTTATATTTGTGGAAACCTTGAGATTATAGTATTAATAACTGGAAGTTAGCATAATTCTGACACATAGTTACCATGTTCTACTCAGAAGCTTTTTATCTTATTAAGTGCCGAAATACAGCATATTAGCACAGAGCATTACCATGAAAATACTGTAACGACTGAGCAATGAAACCTCCATTTTCCTTTAATAAAAAGTGCCTGGCCCCCAACTCCATCTTGTAAACAACTACAAAGAGACACTGCAAATTACTTCCAAAGGCTCTGACATGCTATGTTGACAATATAATATTCTAGCTCATCATATGATGGGGCATGATAAATCGTACGCCAGTTGCCATTATTCTGCATGGCGAGTCATATTTCTACCTTTCAGTGCACTGATATTTTGAGCGGTTGCATGGTTCTGTGAGGAAACAGGAATAGGATATTACCACAAAAGTCCATTTCTATGGATTTGTTAATAAAACCTAGGCTCACACATGGTGTTGGCAAACAGGTGAACTCCCTTTCATCACTGTAGGTTGGGCATTTTTAAATGACCAGATTCCAAGATAAGCATCTAACACAGACTACTCTCCCAAAGCAGGTGGACAGGGGGATGGATGTTTTGAGTGACACTGATTGGATTAAGAAAGTTAGTGCTGCACTAAAATAATGTCTTTGGCTCACTGGCTGCTGCCTACTTGAGATTGTTCAACAGCCACTTACAAAGGCTTCATTATGTATATTGTTATGTATAACAATACACCTCTGATCACAAAATACTTTCTGAATTTACATCTATTTAGACAACTTATCACAACCTTTACAATTCAGACAGAAATCATATTAGAACAAAAACATTAAAATTCTATCTCGTGTATCAATTACTATTGTTTTTAAAGTCAATACATTAGCTTGTCAATTCTGCTTGCCCTCCAATTAGCATATGAGGAGGGTGAGGTACTAGTAGAAAAAAGTACTGCATCCCTCCTAACTAATACTTAAAAAATAGTATATATTGTCACATTTGATAGGATCCCACAGTACAATAGTCTTTGGTGAATCTACTGAAACTAGTGTGGCCGTAACTGTTCACGGTATTGTGCTCCGCACAATCTACATGGTCACCTTTCAACACTTTAAGTGTTATATCTGTCTAGGTTCCAGTGATAAAGAGGTCACATCTGAATAGCAGAAATGATTTCTGTTTAGTTGTGGCTGAAGTTGAAGACATCATATAATATGGAGGTTTTGTAACTCCCACCTTAAGAATTTGGGTCTGATACTCATTAAAGACAAAATGATGGAGGTGTATGCATACATATGAAGGGGGAGAGGCATAATCATGCATTCATTCTTTTTTTCTGATAACAGTTTTCCCCTTAAACAATGAGATTACTAGTGCATTCGACAATTAATGACTGAATTGCACATGAGTAATTCAGCTTTAGAGTTCACTGTACTTGCAGCCAATCAGACTATACTCATCTATCCAAAACTCAAGAAAGATCTTTTTTTTTCTGGTACCATAGAAGTCAAGGTGTTTTAGATTAGTTCTTGTCTACTGTCCCTCCAACAGATGCACACACATTCTTACAAACACTTCATATTGAACAGCTGTTACTGTAAGGTGAAATTCACCTTTAAGTGAAAGATTTGGAGGAAACTACAACAGGTCTTTACCGTGGCCTTAACAAAAGCATTGATTCTAGAACAGACCCTCTGGAATGAGGTGTTTTCCTGCAATACATCTTCTTTCTGACATCAGACTAAAAAAAGAGAGGCTATGCTAAGCATTAAACACTTTGATTTCTTCTTGCTAGATCTAAATTACTACACACAAGTATCAGCACTCAAGGATAGATTAACTTTTAATTTTAATATTTTGTAAAACACTTAGAAATACTTCAGAATGACAAGATGCTATAAAAGTTTAAGCTGTTCCACTACAGTAGCTTAACATTAAGACACCAAAAGATTTCATTTTAAATCTAACTACTAGTAGAACTTGCATTTAAATCAGTCATCAATTATCAAACAGATACTACTTTTAGGCCAGTACTATGGAATGGTAGAAGCCTGGATTAATAAATAAATAAAACTTAAAAATACAGTAGCCAACAATGATGAGAAACTAGTGAAGATTTAGTATTCTGTTATTCCAGAAATTTATGTCATTAACGTGTTGTGAGCTTTTGGGTAATTAGGCAATATATGTATTATCAGGCAGCCCAATAGGACATACAAAGGATGACATCATAAAGACACACTATCTTATAATTGGGTTGGTTCATGCCTTCTCCTAAAATAAATGTTACCTTTGAACAATCGTAGCATTCTGTAGGTATTTAGTCTTTTTTGAGGCACTCCTCCACACTTACCTGAATGAAAGTCATGTTCGTAAGACAAGTAATCTCCATCTGGCTTCTCAGTGAGATAGATACATGCTACTTTGTGTACTTTGCACAATGCAAAGTAACTTTTCATAGCTAATGGCATTAATTTTGTAATAATTTTCATTCTGTTGTTTTCTTACATATTGGTCACAGAAAAATAGAATGTACTCTAAAACCTCACAGGTGATATGCGTAATCTATTAAAACACTACAATGCTTAAAATAAAGGTGTCTTTTCAGAAGGAGAAAAGAAATTGTGGTTTAAAAGGACAACCTGAAACCTGTGATATAAGAGGAAGTCTTATATACCACCATCTTGTAGCTATATGAACACAGGGAAAAAAAAAAGATGGCTAGTACTACATTACTGAATAATTATCCATCTAAATGTCAGCTATCATCATGTGATCAGTCTTTTTATAGGCAAAAAAGAATGTTCCCCTATGTCCATACTTAATATCAGTATGGAAATACAGTACATGTTCACCTTTCCCATTGACATCCTAATATACAGGCATTTTAATACAAGACATTTTGCCCCCTTTTTTCTTTCACCTAAGAGCTAAGGCATGTAATGCACATGCAGAAATGCTGAAAAAGTTTTAAAACTTGTAGCAGATTTAAGCGTTTGTGTATTATCACGTGTTGTGTCACCAAAAATACATCAACTAAAACTAAAGAGGTCATTAAAGCAGGTAATTACAAACATGTAGAGATATTCAAGAGAACATATCTAAAGAGCCATAGTATTTTTAATTTCGTGTGTGACTGCTATCATTATATACAATTTTAAAAGTTTTTTGCAAAGGTAAGTGTTAAAGTGCAGGTGGATATCCAGACAGGCTGAGGTATAGTTTCATATTCTACAGACAGCCACAAAATTAAAATCTGCATTTATATATAAAAAAAAGTAGAATTTTATTTTTCAGAACTGCTTTTGTGATGTGGCAACACTAAGAGAAAGCTTACTGCTCCCAGTGCCTCAGACTGTAGTCACTGGGGACACAGATTGTTCTAATTCGATTCTTCCCTCAGGATACAGGCAATCCTAATTCAGCTATCAGCAGCAGCTAGGTATAACATGCAGTCACTTTACCTGAATCTGAATACTTATTGCTCCATTCTGGGTGAGAATGTAGGATGCCACATGATGACAAAACAATTGATTGTAGTAGGATATGAGCTGACCTTTCCATGACATGACAGATGCCAGTACAGGCATGCCAACCGATTGCACTAACAACAGCCATATCTCTGATCTGACGGAGAACACCTATTGGCAACTCTTCTCATTGAAAGGTTTCTTTGTACAGGATGAAAAGATTCATATTTACCACGAGGAAAATAAAGAAACGACACATAGGCTCTTCATTTCATCCAGGAAGCACCATCAAATCCTGAGATTGGTATAGGAGTTAATACATGCAAACACAAAATTTTCTTCTTACTGATGAAGGCAGAGATTGCCATAGAAATCTGACCTGGGAATACTTTGAAAATACCTTTCCCTCTGTAGAAAAAGAGAGTAGATAAATTTACATATCAAAGACATAAGTTCCCTAACAAAGTCAGAATGCTGTTCACTGGAAGAGTTAGTTCTCACACTAAGAAGAAAGTTGGAGAAAAGTAGGGTTAGATTGCTGTTTAACTTGGTTAAAACTCCGAGGAGAAAATTCAACACATAGCCAGGGATATCTGTGGCAATATTTAAGACAGTACTTTAAGGAACTTTGTTGAAGAGGAAAATAATCCCAAAGAGAAATTGTTTATAGTCTTTTAAGAATGCAGGGATCAACACTTTAAATGGCTGATTAAATGTCATTTAAGATTTCTGGATGTGAAGTAAGCAGACGTGCCAAATAATCATCTTTTTAGGAGTCAAGAAGAAGCCGTTAGTTTTGAGAGGAGGAACTGTCCACAAGACAGGGTAGGCACTGCGGCAAAGATCCTTACTTTCTGGTAGACAGAGGTTTACTCCCTCTGTCCCAAACCAGGATGTACATAAACCTGGCCTTTCATTGCAAATCTCAACATAGTTCTCAAAATTAAACACACATCAGCTGTACCTATCTCAAATTTTGTGAAGGTGAGGGTGTTCTAAAATACAGGTCCTTTCAAGATACCAGATTTGCATAACTAGTTGCGACATGCTATCACTCACTAAAAGAATGGGGAGAAATGAATTCTTCCTCCAAAGGCTTCTTGGAATGTCAATAGTTGAAACAATCATTTTTGTACTAGTTCCAGGGGCAAATGCCCAATTCAAAAGCACAGCGCTGATGGAGAAGAGCAGCTATTCTGGTGAGAACTGGAATCAGCAGAGAACTTGGTAGGAAAGTTGTGAACTGGCAGTGAGTGCTCATGAAAAACTCCACTATGTTAAAATTGCTTGATAAATAGGTAATGAGGACACAAAACCAGGTCATAATGAAGACTGGCAGCACAATAAAGAATGAGGATATAGCTGCTTCTGTTTAGTTTCCTAGCATGACTACTAATTAGAAAACAAAACAAAACCAAACCCTTGCACAGAGGTCTGTAACTATGCAGAGCTATACTGCCACCTAAACACCTGATACTTCCATGCTTCCTCAAGTACTCTGCTATTTTTATTAAGAAAAGGGATGTAATGCTCACAGATTTTAGTATTTTCAGCTTGAAGGCTTTCAGTAATTTTCGTTTTTAGTTCAGCCAATTTTGACAGAATTCCAAAATTTCATGATCACATTCCTTTAAAGCAAAAAATTTCCCTTTTTTCCTGGAGGGAAAATCCACTTTTGCAGATCCATAATGACAGCATATGGTGCAATAGCTAGTGCAAAAATCCGCAGACATCTAGATAAATTTCAATCAGTGGTTATTCTATCCTGCTCAGAATATTTCTACTCATCATAATTCATGAATGTTAGTGAGGCCTCAATTACTGCACATAAATTCCAAAATATATGGGGCATAAAAAGCTCTTTAACCCAACAAAAAGGCATAACAAGAATAGATGGCTGAAAATTAGAGCCAGACAAATTCAAAATCAGACAGGAGATTTTTTTTTTTTAATAGCAAAGGTAATTGAACAAAGAACTTGCTATCAAGGGAAGCGATGCATTTTTAAAATTTTTATTATTATTTTTAAAATAATTTGAAGTCTTCAAATCAAGACTTAACCATCTTTCTAGGAGTTGTACTGCAAGGAGATAAAAGCTCTTGGGCTCTATATGGGAAAGATGACAAGAAAGTCTCTTTGTATTTTTTTTTTGTAAATATAAAAAGTCACACCAGGTGACCTAATGGTTCCTTAACAATTAAAAAGACCACAACCTATATAGCCACAAAAGCAGGTTAGTCTATTGAAAATATACTTCTTGAGCAGTCACAGTTTGTCTGCATTAAAACCTGTAACTGTGTAACTAAGTGGACATATATCCTAAAGTGAACTGGAAATAATATAATTATAAAATGGCATATTTTCTGAGAGCAAATGACATTCAGTGTTATGTTAGATTAATTAAAAATTGCCTTGAAGTGCCTTACTATGAAAAAAAAGAGTAAAAAATTGCCTAAAAGAATACAAAGCAGGAGAGTTAAACTAATTCTTAGAAAGAGTTAGACTTAGAAAGAAAGCAAACAAAGGACATTGGTAGCATAAACATGCCTAATCAGTAGAATTAATGGAATTATTGACAAAAATGCCAGTGCAGGGGGTTTTTTTCTGAGCCAAAGTCAAACATTTTCAATATTGATCAACAGCAAAACCTGTTTCATAAACACCCCCAAGACTTGCACTGAAAAGATTCAAGCTTTAAAAATCAACATCAACTTTTCCAAAAGAGATTAAAATTCTTTAAGAGGAAAAGAAATCAAACATACCACATGAGGCGTAAGTTACTAAATCAAGCCAATAACCAGAAAAATGTTGAAGAAAGACAGAATGTTCAACTAACCATTTGATGGGTGATTTCTGAGATTTTGTGCATTATGACTCAGGGGAGATGAAAATGGACTCATTTGGCATGTTCCTGTTGTCGGTGAGTAAGAGTTTAGATTCTTCTTTTTGGTCTTCAAAGGTGTTGCATCAGATGGCTAAAATGTAGCAAAAGACAAAGAATCTAGGTGAATATTGGCTAAAGATAAAGTAGTACCTATGTCCATACAAGCCTACAACAGTTGTAAACTTCCCTTCTGCAAACTAATTACTTTATGGCCTCTGCCTTTCCTATCAGTAGAGCTACATATTGCACCTCAAACCAGACAAAGCCTCTCTGAACTTTTACTATCTGGTAATAGATTTTTCTAAGTAATTCCTAACTTTATGTTCTCCTGTTCATGGAAAGCCCGTGTTATATGTTGTGGTGGGTTGACCCTTGCTGGCTGCCAGGTGCTCACCAAGCCTCTCTATCACTCCCCCTCCCCATTAACATTAGTTTTACTCAAATAAAAGAAACACCAACCAAAACAAAACCAAAACCACCCCCAAAACCCAACAAACCTACTAGCATGCTACACATACTAAAGTATGTGGTTTCCAAACATTTAGGTATTCTGGCATGAACATTTTGTTTTTCTTTTCAAAAGCAGTCAAAAACAAGTATTATTTTTCCTACAATATTGAGAATGAGACACATGAATTATAAGCAAGTATTTTAAAATTTTAATTCTGTCAAAAGATACTGATTTCTAATGATTTTCTAAACAAATGTTAATTAAAAAAACCCATGTGAGTCCCTTAAATCCAAGATTTTGTCTCTGGTTTAGGATTTCAGTATGTCTAATGATATAAAAGGAGGTAGTTAATGATGTTAAAAGCAATGTGCAGAGAAGTTTTCAGAAGAACTAGTCTGCAAATCTGAAATATTGATGTGGTTGAGCCCCAGCTGGCAGCTGAGCACCATGTGGCCACTTGCTCACTCATCCCCACCCTGGTGGGATGGGGAGGACAATTGGAAGAAAAAAGTAAAACTCGTGGGTTGGGATTAGGATAGTTTACTGAGACAGCAAAGGGAGAGGAAAACAACAACAATGGTACTAATAAAAAGAATATACAAAGTGGGTGATACACAATGCAATTTGCTCCCTGCCCCTAATCGGATGCCCATCCCATCCCTGAGTAGCGACCCCTCCCCAGCCAGCTCCCCCTCCTCTATACTGAGCATGAGGCCATATGGTATGGATTAACCCTTTGGCCAGTTTGGGTCAGCTGTCCTGGCTGTGTCCCCTCCCAGCTTCTTGTGAAAATTAACTCTATTCCAGCTGGAAACCAGGACAAATATTAACCGGGATTATCGGGGAGACAGTTCAGTAGATTGGATGCTGAATTGCAACTCTGAGGAACTGGGATTTCACTGCACTACTACTATATAGAGGAAAAAAACAGAACTGAAAAAAACCCCAACCGAAACCACACTTTGTTTGCACATGAAGAGCTTCAGCTCTAGTCGCAACTTGATTCTAAGAACTCCAGCAGCTTTAAATAACATCATTGATGCCTGTCAAAAGGAGACATACAAAGAAATACACAAACAGACACAGTACTTAAAGGCATCAGCAGCATCTTAATGTCACCTTACACTCTTGGAAACCGCTGATCAAATGGCTACAGGATTTTCCAGGTAATGGAAGTATTAAGCACTATGCATGCTACCAGACCTACAGTACTTCACCGTTATGTAACCAGCAGATCCAATAATTAAACAAAAGACTGGAAGGTACAACACATGGCAAGCTGGAAAACACAGCTTTCCAATGACAGCTTTCCCATTCTTGCCTACCTTTCGTTTCAAGGAGATAGTCAGCAGGCATGTAAACTCCTGCTCCCAGACAAGACTAGCCACCTCTAAAGAGGAAAGTGCTCATAGTGCACAACTGATTTCACTGTATTAACATCTGCCATGCAAAGAATAAAGGGACATTTTGGGCAAAATCACTTTTTCCAGTCCCTTTCAAAATTTTCTCACGGGCTTAAAGAAGAGCTGTCTAAACGCAGACAAACAGACACTTTTTTCTACAGTTCAGTGATAGTTTTTTTTTTTTCCCTTCTTGGAAACATAGTATCATCAAAGCAAATCCCACAGAAAAAACTTTTAATTTGTTACAATCCTGGGTCTTTGAGTTTGAGGAGCAAATTTATTTCTCTCTCTTTTTGCAACTGTAGCAAGCAAAAGAATGACTCATCGGCTTCCCAAACAACTGGCCTTTTCTACAACTTGAGCCTCATTCTAGACATAAAACGGAATATCTATCATTTGTCTTTATGTCACTCATAACAGTCACTCAATTTCATACAGTATTTCTTCATTGGAAGCTTTATTGTACATGATTATTCTGTAATCTCTTTAAGTTCCATTTATTATTCCATTTATTAGTGTTAGAAAAAGTATAATAGGTAAGCATATTACACTGTTTCAGTACTATGAATGAAATACAAGGTGAGGATCTGGGGTTTATATTCATTAAAGAATACACAATGCTTAAGCCAAGTTAGGAAAAAAAATAATAGTAAAAAAGCAGACAACCTGATATTTGCACTTTGGTAACTGACATTTCCACTGCAATTTCAAATCAATAACTCATTCATTCCCTTTTCATACTTAATCATTTGTTGTCCTGTTTTGCTGGAATAAGACCCTCATCCTACTCCTTTTTAAACTATAAGTTTAAGGTCTCACAAATACCCCCTGGAAAACTACAGCAATTTTAGATCTCAAAAGAGGTGTATGGGTGGCAAAAGCCGTACTTTTAAGCTGCACCAATAATCAGGTTCACCAGGTAACATGCGTAAAAGCCACAAGTCCTATCAGGATGTAAGTCAGATCAGATCACAAAGCTACGTATACAAAGGTCACTTAAAACCTCTACAATCCAGCAGGAACCCAGGACCTGGGAAAAGGCTACATTTCATTACCCCGTAAATTAATGATAGAAAACATTAACATTTTGATAAGTAATCTTAAACTGTTGCATTTTTAGAAGGAAACTGTTTCTAAAAAGTATACATCTACAGAAGCAATAAATATAAAACTAGGAATATGAGTTGTACAATGGACAATTATGTAACCCTCAGAAGTTTTCTTCTCAATTCCAGACAGTTAGCAGTTGATTTAAATGTCCTGAAGCACAATACTCCTATTTTTCACACCTACATAGATATGCATACTCTTGTTGTCTGTATGAATGTGTGTTTTTATTACAGCTTCTACTACATTCTTGACTTCACCAAAATTTCAGGATGAGTTCTAGAAGTTAACGTGTTGTATAAAATATATGTCTCCATTATTGGCTTTCAGTTTTCCACATACCAATATTATTGAATTCCTCTTGATTAAATAAAAGTATAAAGAATGTCCAATATTCTCTCGAAAAAGAATACAGCATATTCTTATACTCCTTTCCTTCAGTACTGAACTCCTATGAAAACATCTCGATCTTTTAATCTCCTTCATTTGAAGACATTTCTTGTGACTCTTGTACCACAGCCTATGTTCACACTCATTTTCTTTCACAGAATGATATAGGTTCAAAGTATAATTTCTGTAATTATACTTTAAAACAGAGTGACAGTACATTCAATTCCAGTGTAGACAAAATACTGATGTATGTAATGGCATTATACTTGGAGTGCTCTGTGCTATTCTATTTCTGATATATCTTACTGCACTTTTGCACAGAGCTGCAGTTTTGATGTTTTTCTTCTCATACTCTGCCTTGAATGATTACCCTTAATTTAGAATCCAACAGTGTTAGTATTGGTCATCAGTAATATGACTTACTCCGTATTTCAAAAGATTTAATTTGCTTAATATTACAAAATCTAAACCGACTCCTTTCTGATCTGGTGAGTTCAGGCACGCTATGGGTAGTCTGACCAGCAGGTATGAGGTCCTCCTGAGTAACAGGAAAGAAATTGTAAAAACAACAACGGATGTGGCAGAGCTCCACCAGATACTTCACGCAAACTGTGTGTGTCTATTACCTTACATTCCTTCCTACCTTCTACAACCTTATTTAATTACGGTACACTTGAAGCCTTTGACATGTATCTGTTAGAGGCATCGTACGAACTAAAAATCATAGTGTAAATATACATTATTGAGATTCCAGTAAAAGTTTTTATCATTCAGGTGGGCTTTTGTAAGTTTTTTGCTGCACAAGAACCTAAATACAGGTAACCATCAGGTAACTTTCTTTTTATGTTATGGGGAGGGGGCAGGGAAGGAATAGCTTTAAGGCAGAAAAACAATTGTGTGTAATTTCAGCTGGACCACTCATCTACAAAAACGTTACCACAGCCCAAGAAACAGATGCAAAATTACAGTCACAGCTGCATTCAGAGCAGAACAAGTTGGGTAATGGTACACTAAGCTGCTAATTAAATTGCTAATGATTTTTTTTAGTGCCACTGCGGTATTTTGCCACCTTTGTTTAAATGAAAAAAAAAAAAGTATCTAGAAAATTTTTTAAATTGCAAATTTCTATTATTTCTATTTTGCTAAATATCAGTGAGATCTCCAAATATGTGCTGCATATAAACAAATCTCTTCAAATTACACAGACGTGGAGATTTATTGGGAGCTCATTTGCTGACCAGCTATTTCTCTTTATATACTTTTCCAAAATTTTCCTTCCTTTAAACACTGCCATCCTCACAAGCACAAGTATTGATGTCTGCAGCAACACCCACTGTTGGTAGGGGTAGATAATAAACTGACATATGTCATGACATACTGGTACTGGGAGTATACTATAGCTACATTTACAAAAAATAATAGCAACAGTACAATTTTATTTTTATTGTGATAACTGTGGTGAAATTTATTGCAATGTTAGTACTTTATTGTTTCATTATGCCAGATTAGCTGAGGGAGGTAATTATATCCTTGACATGAAAATGCCTTTAATGTTTTCATTTCAATTTTGCAGTTTATAATATGCAGATTACAGCATTATCATAATTCCATATTGTTACATGTACAATTACATGGCAGAACATTTGCTTCCAGGATAATGGAGCTAATTTCTAATACATGATTTCACCAAGGATCTTAACTCATTCAGCTCTTGGGTAAATAGTGACAGCAATAAAAATATGTATATTTCTCCATTATTTTCAAGTGATTCATGAAAATGCACATTACCTAAAGCCAGGCAGTTCTATGACAAATGGAACACAATAAATTTATAGTAATATTGTTCAGCAGTAATTTTGTGCCTTGTTAAGATTTTTCTAGACAACATCCGATCTGTAACAATATAAATGCAACTCTAATGAAATATCATGTTGCTACACACATATGTGTGTGCATACAAATATATATACAGGCATACATATATAGAGAGCCCAGATGATTCCATACACCAAAAAATACTTACATTATCTTTTTTAACAGTGTCCAACTTTAATGCTCTCTTAACTCTGCAAGAGAAAAATATGGACAAGTTTATGGTCATCTAGAAACAAAGATATCTGGTATTAAGGTCTATAATATGCAATTTTAAAGATATAGTCTTTCCTCATGTTTCACTTTCCTTTTATACTACACAAGAAAACTAATCTCATCCAAAGCAAATACATTAACTGATTAAAATACCGTGTAACAAAAACATTGCTTGTTTAGAAGGATAAAGTGTTTGCATAAGAAAATCCAATTCTCCATTTTATATGAGAGATAAAAATCAAGACACTGAAGTGAAATTGCACTGTATATTTGTCTCTTTCTCAAAGACTATAAACAATGAAAAAATGCAAAAGCATTCTCATTTACATACCTTCTGAGCAAGGGTTGAAATTATTTTGCCATTAGTAGAAATAATGTATTAGGCATTTAAAACACAGGTACAGCCAAGGTGAAAAAAGTAGTTCTTCCCATCATTTTAGCTCTTAACATGATTTAGTGCTACCAGACTATGACTTAACTGGGGAACAGATGCTCTATGCCTTTACAGGTCCCCAAACCATAAGAAACTATTTTCTAGTCTTCTTCACTATACTGATTCAGGAACATGCCAAGCTCTCTCTGCAAAATCTGCTCTGCTGAACTGGATGCCCAGCTGTTAATGGCAACGCTAGAAGAGGAAAGCTGAATATTTATAATACTTTATATCGTACAGCTGTCTTCTAAAGAGCAGTCATCAAAATTTTATTGAATGCAGACTAAATGCTCAAAGGAAAGAAAGGTCAACATAAATTAAGACTATTTTTCCCAGAGACAACTGAAACTTTTTAAGCACATTCCTAAATCTTAACAATAGTTTAAAGCATTATATAAAACGAGGAAAAAAACTTAAAATCTTTATAAGAACAGTCCCCAAGAAACATATACATTATATCAAATTAAACAAGATTTAGAAAATACATCATATTTCAATAACTTCGTTCACAATTTTCATCTTGGAAAAGAATGTTTTGACTTCTAAGGAATTAAGATGACCTCATCCCAAACATATCCTTTTAAAATTTATATTACTATTCCAAAACTGTAAATTAAAGTATTGGAAAAATAGAATGAAAACACATCTTTGAAATATAACTCAGGCAACAGTCTTATATGAATACTGTTTTACAACTATCTCTATTACAAAAAGGGGAAGAGAAGTATTCTATCTTAAAAAAGCCAAGTAAACAGGTAACATTTAAATTAAAAAAGCCTGTGAACTTCTTGCCAAAGGGCAGTCAAAGCTGTAACAGTTTGATGGAATTCTTTACAATGTATTTCCTTTTTAAATAGAAACCCATATCGCTTAAGGAATGCAGACTCCATTACATCTTCCACCCCAGTGGCAGCAGAGAAACATTATATTTATTAATACATCTACTTTGAAAGGATGCTCTAGGGGGCAATGCATTTGCATGTTATACTAAGGCATGTTATGATGGAAGTTTTTATGATGGACTTCAAAAGAAGCTGGAAGCCAAAGCAAAGCAGAATCTGGACTCAACATAGCTGTAGGATGAAGATAAATGAGAAACTACATGAAAATCCCACTAAGTTATAAACATTTAGAAAATTTCTTAGGGAGAAAGTTGTAGACTGGTCAAGACTATGTTCTTTAAAGTCTGTTAAGAACTGTGCACAGGAATAGAGTTGCAGACAGCCCAAATTTCTCTCTGCTGGCCTGCAAAACCCCTGCAAACACCCTGAGCTGTGGCGGCAAAGAGGCAACCTCATTCCAGGTGAGTGCTTCAACGTTGGAATGAGCTGCATGGATACAATTTTGGCTTCAGGAGGTTAACATTGCCTCGCTTTTCCCAATCCATCCCACCCAGCAGCCTAGTTTGCTTGTGGGCTTTTTAGTCATTGTCTTTCTGATGCCATAATATGAGAAGGTAAATCTCTAAAGGGAGACCTTTACTCAAAATAAGGTAAAATTTGTGCTCTTAAGTCTACACGCAGTCCCTGGCTAGGACCACTGAAACAAAATTCATCCAGACACCTAACATGAAGACTCAGTTGGCCAAAGTGTCTTCTCACACATCTTTCAAAATATGAACATGGAAAAAAACCAATAGGTGCATCTAGGTGCAAACAAAATTCCTAAAGTATTTTAAAGGAACAGCATCAGCTTTAGTTTGGTTTATCTTTTTAATATGGCTGGAAAAACCTTGCTATGGCTATGGAGTATCATCAGAATGTGAACAAGAAAAGGAGATAGAAAGATGACGCAATGTGATGGCAGTACACAACAACTTATTTACCTGAATTTCCTACCCTGGAATTGATTCAAAATTCCCTGACAGGGCTTATTTTATTTTCTTAACTATGCAGAGTATGATGGCACATGTACAACTTGCAATGATTATTTTGCCCATAATATTTATCAGATTAAAGAACTACATATTACTTCTACAGCACATTGTTCATCTATGATTCCAGGTCATATTGTCAGTTCCTTGCTAATACTGGGAGACCTTTACTCATTTGAATAGTGCTTTGATGAAACCACTTGCCTCCCTAACAGAAACTGCTTAGCAGTGAGAGTCTGGGTATGCAATTTAACTTTCAGTAAAGAAATAGATTTTTTATACTGTTTTTAATGCCACGTACACATAACTTTCCTTCACAATTCATTCATGAATGAATGCAATGGTAACAATCACATGCAGATTTAATGCACAAAAAAAGAAGATACAGAACCAGGGACTTGATTATATTATTTAATTAAAAATATGCTAGAGAGTATTGCAGTGCATTTTGAGGCCATTTCAGTTAGCGTCCTCTTAAATTTCTGCTTTCCCTGGGGAAAAAACCTCACATCTCTATGCTATTTACATGTTGCTTCATCTTCAAAACCTGCCAACAAACCTGTCTCGTTAATTGGAAAAGCATAAAGAATACATGAACATTTTCTATGTTCAGCTTACATAGTAGTTAAACTCAGTATGCAACCAGTGAGAAACAGACCTATCACCAAAAAAAATCAAAGTTTGTGTATTGGTATTTCCTTTGAATTACTACTGTGACATGATTACTTCAACTTCCAGTGGTCAAGAGAAAGACTGGCTGGACTTGGAAGCTATGTTAGCTCTAACATAAGTTACCTTTGAAATCACATCAGGAGCTGTAAAATGGGACAATATCCCAAGCCTATATATAGACAGCATAAGTTTAATGGCCTCACCTTACTGCTGTTGAAGTTACATCCTACATATTTTCTTTATTGTTCTTCAGAAGCCCACAATTAGCAGAGATACACAAGAATAGCATCAGATTTACACGACTATTCCTTGATAAATTGCAAAGAATAGGAGAGATATGAACAGGATTTATTCCTATTGGAGATAATATGAGGACATACAGCCTGATGGAAGACAGACATGGAACATGTCATGCCCTTACCACCACAGGCCTGCAATACCTTTCAACAACACCCAGGTGTCAAACTCAGCACAACCCACCCATGACATGGCTCCTGTCACTCTTCCACCCCCTACCACACAGCCTCACAGGCTTTATCCATGGGGGCTACAGAGATAAACAAACTCCCCCTCGGCTGGGGAAGCCGGAAACAGATATATAACATACAGAAACTATTGCCCATACCAGTGGGCATCCGCCCGGATAAAGGCTCTGCCCCCAAGGAGCCACCATCTTAAATATTTCCCGATCCCATCCAACAACTACAAGACAGAGCTCGAAACAAAACCCGCCCTTTCCCACGCACCGCCGTGCTCCTCCCCTCTGCGGGATAACCTAGGCAGCACACTTCTCCTCAGGGAATAAGCTCGCC